CTCAAGAAGGGATGTTCCTTTTTCTGGAACTATTATTTACTTTGACCTCTACTGTCCTTTTTATACAATGTCTAGCACATAATAAAGGATTAGGAGACATGCAGAAACAGAAAATTTTGATACCTACTAAAGAAAAAAGCCTAGGGGTACCTGGATGCCTCAGTCGGTTAAGTGTCCGTTCAGGTCATGATCTCAAGGTTTGTGGGATTGAGCCCCTCATCAGGCTCTGCACAGACAGTGTGGGGCCTGCTTGGGATTTTTTCTCTTTCTTTCTCTCTCTCTCTGCCCCTCCCTGGTTTGCACACATGCACCCATTCTCTTTCTCTCAAAATAATTAAATAAACTTAAAAACAAGGAAGCCTACTGAAGCAGACCCACAGATAACCTAGATGTTGGGATTAGCAGATAAGGACTTCAAAGTAATTACAATAAAAGAGACGCCTGGGTGGCTCAGTCGGTTAGGCGTCTGACTTCGGCTCAGGTCATGATCTCACAGTTCATGGGTTTGAGCCCCGCGTTGGGCTCTGTGCTGACAGCTAGCTCTGAGCCTGGAGACTGATTCAGATTCTGTATCTCCCCCTCTCTCCGACCCTCCTCTGCTCATGCTCTCTCTCTCAGAAATAAATAAAAACATTTAAAAAATGTTTTTAAAGTAATTACAATAAAAAACGTTAAAGGACTTCATGAAAAAAAGACTATAAATGAGAGAATGGGGAATCATAGCAGAAAAACAAACACCCAGGAAATTTTAGAATTAAAAGATACAGTATCAGAAGTGGATTCTGTGGGCTTATGAAGAGAATTATCAAAACAGAAGAAAACTATGAACTTGAAAAAACTCTGTTCAACAGAAATATTCAAACTAAAAGACAAAAACAGGCCCCAAACTAAATAGAGCATTTGAGACATTCGGGACAATATGTATACGGTGTCTTAACATCTGTGTAACTGCAATCTTAGATCTTAGAAACAAAAGGAGAATGGGGCAAAGAAAATATCTGAAAGTGTCCAAGAACTTCCTGAAATGATAAAACAAACCATAAATCTTTATCATCCCAGAGGGATAAAACAAACCAAACCATACCTCCATACATCACAGTCTGTTGAAAACTAAAGATGAAACTGAAATTTTTTTTTGTTTTTTAAGTTTATTTATTTATTTTGAGAGAGAAGGAGAAAGAGTATAAGTGGGGGAGGGCCAGAGAGAGAGAATCCCAAGCAGGCTGACACAGAGAGAGAGAGAGAGAGAGAGAGAGAGAGAGAATCCCAAGGAAGCTCCATGTTGTCAGCACAGAGCCCAATGTGGGGCTTGAATTCATGAACCATGAGCTCATGACCTGAGCTGAAACCAAGAGTCAGACACTGCATAATTACATTCATGCAGAAAATGACTCAACCACCTAAGCCACCCAGGCACCCCAGGATAAAATTGAAAATGTTAAGCACAAGTGGAGGAAAAAGACACATTCTGTTCAGATGAATAACAATGAGACTGACATCTTAGAAACAGAAACAAAGTCATCCAATAAATGCAGAAGCAAAGAAAACACTTAGCATCACGGTCTGTATTTGGCAAAAAAATATCCTTTAAAAACCAAGGTGAAATAAAGACATTATCAGAAAGACAAATGGAAGTGAATTTGTCCTCGTCATTCCTGCACTACAGGAAATGATAAAATGAGCTGCTCTGGCTGAAGGGAAAAGACATCAAAGAGAATCCCAGACCTGTAGGAAGGAATACAGATAAACATAAAACAGTATTTTATGTGTGTACACACACACATACGCAAGTTACTTAAAAAGTCAATACAATTTAAAGTAAAAATAACAAATATTTGGGGTTAAAAATATATGTAAAAGTGAGATATAAGACAAGGACCACACAGGTAAGAGGGTATAAACCAAATTATGCTTAAGTTATTATGTTGTTCATGAATAAATATCATTTGAAGACAGGGGATAAATTAATGGTGCATACTGTGCTCACCAGGCTAAGCAATAAACAAAATAGCACAAAAGTAGAGCTTAAAAGTCAATAATATTCAACATACTCAACCTACAGGAAGTACAACAAATCTCATTAGGATAATGAAAAATCAACACACAAATATAATAGAATAAGATCTTAAAAGTAGCTAGTCCGAAACACACAAATTTACTTTAGATGTCTGACAAATTAAAAGATGAGTTTTCAATAGTATAAGACAATGAATGTTTTCAATGTTTCAAATAGAAGAACTTCCAACCAAATGTTTCAAATAGAAGAACTTCCAACCAAGAGTTGTATACACAGTGAAAAATTTCATTTATACTTCAGATAAACCAAACAGGATTTTCTACCAGCAGACCCTCACTAAAACAAGCAAGCAGAATAAAAACAATAATTATAAAGGATGTTTTCAAAGAGAAGAAATGAATGCCAACACAACTTGAGGGATAAAAAAGAATTAATTTGGCCAAAATGGCTATGAACAAATAAAATACATTATCTGCAGAAAATGAACTTTTCTAATAGTTGTTAGTGATGAATGTACTCAAAGTTACTTCAAAAAATAAAAAGGCTTGCTAGTCATTTGTGGTGTCCCAAACTGATCATTCAATTCAGCAATCAGTACAGACCATAACACAGGGAAAATACTGTATCACCATTGAGTGAATTCTGGATAAGACTGAAGCAGAATGGTGGAATAGGCTAAGTTGTTTTTGAGCTTCCTCATACATTATTTCCCCCTCTTTCCAAAGTCTTTTCCTCCCACCATCATGCCCAAAGGTTACGATTTTTAGTTAATATCATAATGTCTTCACGGGGGCTCCTTGGTGGCTCAGTGGGTTAAGCGTCTGACTTTGGCTCAGGTTATGATCTCACAGTTTCATATGTTCAAGTTCCGCCATCAGGTTCTGAGCTGACAGTGGGGTTCTCTGTCTCTCTGTCTCTCTCTCTCCCTGCCCCTCCCTTGCTTGCTCGCTCTCTCAGAATAAATAAATAAATAAACTTTAAAAAACAGAATCCAGTACCAACAAGCCCTGTGCGATAACTGGCTGTAAAACGTTTGGGGTGCCTGGGTGGCTTAGTTGGTCAAGTGGCCAACTCTTGGTTTAGGTTCAGGTCATGACCTCATAGTTCATGGGTTCCACACCAATGGTGGGGGCCTGCTTGGGATTCTCTCTCCCCCTCTCTCTCTGCCCCTACCCTGTTCACACTGTCTCTGTCTCCCTCAAAATAAACTTTAAAAACAAAAAACTTCAGCTTAAATACAAAATGATAATGTCTACACAGAACATTCATGATACGGTAGTAACACCACTTCAGAAGCTCGGCTGTGAGAGTTATGTAAGACTGACTATGCCAAGTGCTTACCAAAGGGCTGGGAATTTAAAACAAAGAAATGGTTACCACAGAACTCAGCATTCATTTTTCTCTGGGTAATGAATGGTAAGATTAGATTAAGGTGGGGCACACGAGGGCTTCAAAAATACTAGTAATTGTCATTTCTTAAGCCAGATAGGGGGTACACTTGTGTGTCAGCAATATTCCCTAAATTTTACGTATACATTACGTACATTCCTTTGCATGATTTTAAAATTAAAATAAATAAAACTGAGATTCAGTGTTTGTCTAGCCTACAAGGTCCTGCATAGTCTAGCCTAGCCCCTTCCACCTTTTTGATCTTACCTCTAGGTCATTCTCCCCTGGGTCGCCTCTAGCTTCAATGTCCTGAATACTCTTTCTGGAACATGCCTCAAGGTGTTTGTATTTGCTGTTCTTCTTATCTAGAATGCTATTACCCCGGAATTCCACTAGGCTCCCTCATTTCATTCAGGACATTCCTCAAATATTACTTTTTACAGTAATGTTCCCCAATCAACTTATCCCCTGTTCCTCACTTCTCTGTATCACGCTGCCCTTGTAATGTCTTGTTCGCCTCTCAGCACATCCACCAGGAATATCACTCAAATGACAACACACATGGAACATATATCATGTTTGTTAGTATCCCCACCAATCTCCACAGAAAAGTCTAAATATTAGAAGTTGTCCACTTCACAGTGGAGGATACAAGTTTTCCAAAATTCTAAGTTCCCTTGAAACCTCAACTTTTAACATTGGCAACAAACACTAAGAGTCATTTTCCTTGAGGTGGCAGGCTCACTTCAGCCATTTTTGGGAAAATGTTTGGTAAATACCCCTGCAAATAACCACAGTTGGTCTGCCAGTTGCTCTTTCAAGCAGAAATAGTATTCCATGAAAAAGATGGCTAGGTGAGCTCACAATTCAGTCGTACAAGTGCTTTTCCTGACCACCAACCATCATTCCTCAGTATGCAGCAAAAGTACTTTGTGTACAATTCCCACGTTGTCATACCAAGTAGTAAAAAGAGGTTATTTGGGGGAGGCGCCTGGGTGGCTCAGTTGGTTGGGTGTCCGACTTTGGCACATTGGGCTCTGTGCTGACAACTCAGAGCCTGGAGCCTGCTTCAGATTCTGTCTGTCTGTCTCTCTCTGCCCCTCTCCCACTTGCACTGGCTCTCTTCCAAAAATGAAACAACGTTAAACAAAATTTTTTTAAAAGATGTGTATTTGAGGGTCAAAATGTAATAAAATTACTGTTTCATCAAGGATATCCTCAAGTAAAGGTGGCAGTTTTTACTGCTGAGTACACTGCAGAGGAATACAGTTACTGATATCCTTGTCTTCACTCATGCCCACAGGCAGCGATCTGTTCACCAATGCTTTCACACCATCAGCGTAAAAGGTGATTTGTGTCCTAGTATTATGTTCTGACCTGAAACACTCCTTTGGAAAGGTCTTGGGGAAGCCAGGGGTCTGCAGACTGCATTCTGGAACTGCTGTGCTATTCAAACAGTATTTTCCCTGAAGGTGACTTGTAAGTAGCTCCACTTTTCTTGTTTAATATATGGACTCTCTTTCATAAAACTCACTGAAAATACACACACACACACACACACACACACACACAAAGGGCTAAGTAAATGACTCACCTGATACTTGTTCATTTTCTGTTGCTCTTGGGAAAGGATAGAAACTATGAAGCCAGAACAGGGAAAGTTGGAAGCCAGAAGTCTTAAGAGACCTTATCTTGCTGCTCAGGAATCACCTGTGAGAAATTTCCATACATTTTAGTAAAGCATAAACCCCCAGGAAAATATCCCTTTGAGCCCAATATTCCTTTGAGAAGGAATCAAAAGGACCATGATAAAGGAATACCCACCTGTCCATTGGTGACTCTGATATAATCTTGGTGAATCTGGGAAAATTTTGAGTGAATCTAAACATTTCTTTCCTACGGGCTGTTCTGCAAATTATGTAGCCATTTACTAAACAACACAAAAGAATTGAAAACTTAAACATCCAATAATAGCAAGTTAGGCAAAATGTAGAATATATGTCCAAAATGTGGACCCCTATACTGGCATTACAAATATTGAAAAGTACTGGTAAAGAAGTGTGTAAGTTACATAACAATTGTTCCTATTAACATTATATACCCCACAAAGTTAGAAAGTCTTCAGAGTCCTCAAAAACTAAGGTGTCTCTTCTTCCTAAATTGCAGTTTCTCAAAAATCACTTCTCCAAGATACCAGTTTTGACTTACAGTACAGTGGACCTGGAAGACTGGTTCTAGGCTAGTCTCTGGCATCAACAAACCTAGTGACTTCGTTTCAGTGGTATTATATTTAACGTGAGGAGGAATTATATCCAATTTTGAACCTTTCACGTACCATTTTGATTGTTAAGTCTTCACTCTGCCACAAATCACGACAGTACCCTGGAATTCACTGTCCCCTCCCAGCCTGTGCTGGGCCAAGGGTAAAATTTAATTATGCCTTGAAGAATTCTGACTGGGACACAAATCTAACTTCTAAAATAACAATTTGACACCTTAAATTCCAGAACAGACCAGTGATGTAGGTAGCAAAAAGTAACTAGATGCCCTAACGCTGAGAGAGCAGAAACATCTTCCAGATGGCCTGATGCTTACAAAATGCCTAAAAACTAAGCCCAGATACACCAGCTGAAGGAGGTATTATGATAGCACTTTCATAACATGGAGCACGGATGAAATTACAGTTTTTGCCTTTTTAACAGTCTGTCCCATGTCCCATCCCCATTCCCCCTCCCCCCTCTCTAGAACTAGCCTCTGGCTTGGAGAGGATTCTTAGCTTCTCCAATAAATGGTTTCAGTTTACATGTGTAACAGTCCTCTGAGAATACAAACAGGTTGGAGAATGCGGGGCAGGCCTTAATTAGAATTTTTGTAAATTGAACACTAGGCTAGGTCCATTACACTCCACAGTCATGCTTAGGGACAATTACTGTACAAAATACAAGGCTGTGGATGTTAGCGTGGGACACAGCATGAACCACAGTAAATAAAACGAATTTACCCACCCATCCGCTAATGCTGAGTAAACCAATTTATCTCCGACCTTTCTTCCTCCTATTTATTAATATGGAGGTGATTAATGCCGATTCAAAGGATGATGGTCATGATGATTATGATTAAATGCGCCAAGAATGAAAAGAACAGCATACCTCGGTAATAATAAAAGCAGCTCACCTTTATTGAGTCCTTATCAAACTTTATATATACGGCCCTATTTAATACAGCAAACAACCCCAGTAGTTACTGCAGTTATTTTACAGATGAGTGTCCGAGTCGTCCCGAGGCTACCCGGTCCAGTTAAGCGGCGGGCGCTGGACCTGTGCAGGTCTCCCAGGCTTGACACGGCCGCGGCGCCGGCAGCCACGCCAGCAGCCACGCCAGCGCGAACGTGGCGGGCCCGGGGTCCACGTCACAACAGCCGCCCCCCCCCCCCCCCCCCCCCGCCCGCTACTCCCGCGCCCCAGGCCAACTCGGGCCGCCAGGCTCCGCAGGTCGAGAGCCAGACTTCTGGGGAGGAGCATCAGGTGGACAGCTGGCTACCCCGCCAAGCCCTCTGCCTGGCCCCCTCCCCAGGTCTCCTCGGAGGCCAGCCGGGCGCTCAGAGAGGGGAGGCGGCTTCCAGGTTCTCCTAGTCGGCGCAGCCGCGGAGACCCGGCTTCCCCCCGCCCCCGGCCTCGCACCCGCTGTGCGGCCTCTGACACACCTGCAGGGGCTCAGCCTTCGCTCCCGGCCCGCGCCGGTTCCAGGCCCCGCCCTCTGCCGCACCGCGGACACCTGCAGCCTCCGGAGTCCTATCCCGCCCTGGGACAGGAACAAAAGATGGCGACTATCAAAAGGCGGTGGAATTGCGCATGTCCAAAAGCCCCCCGAGCCTCACTCTGGAACTACGCTTCCCAGGAGCCTCGATAGCAACTCCGTTTTGGATGACATATGATAATTAGGCCTCCTCCAGACTCCGGAGTGCTGCTGGGATTTTCGGGAGGCTTCCCCAGTGATTACTCACAATGACAGCCGGTGAGAAGTGGCAGCCCGCAGTCTGGAGGCTTGAAAACAGTGACTACCGGGAAGCGATGGGACGAATATTGCTCAAGTACTTGGAACCAAGTACAACAGGACATTCGAAGAATAATGTCCACTAACATCTGACTTTATCTTAGGAATGCTAGTTTTCAAAATTATGCAAATGATACATGAAATTTGTAATAAGGAGAAAATATACATAGGTTAAAACAGAAAACTAGTGCCACACATACCACTGCCCAAAAGAAAGAAAAGTTTAATGTGAGAGCACAGTGTGAGATTTTTACTCATTCTATGCAATGGTATAACATTACTTATTTCACTAGGGAATATGCATTGAATATGCAGTGATTTCCTTGTCAGCCACATTATGACATTAACTTAGTCCTGTGCCATCAAGAGAAATGGGTTTCCATTCAGTGTAATGACAAAAATATTAATTTTTTTGTAAGATTAATTTTAAAGACTAAAATCCATGTAGAGAAAATACATATACATATTTGAGTATGTGCATATTATGTATACATACACACTTAGCTGGCTTGCAGGGGTGGAGCGACTGGATGTGGGAGTCCCAAACCAGGTTCAGTCACTAACTGCGGCGGAAATCCAAAGGCAGAGAGACCAGCGGTGGTGAAACAAGAAAAGAATTTCTTTCAGTGAGGCTAACACTGGGAAGACAGTGGACTAGCATTTCAAAGACAGTCCCCAAAGTGCTAAAAGTCCTTCCAGGCTCATTTAAGAAAAACGTGGGGCAAAAGATGGTAGGTACTGCAGGTAGGCAGTGAAAGTGGAATGATCCCTGTCTAGAAGTCAAAGATGGGTGGGGTCTTGCAGGTTCAGGGCAGTCCTTATTCCTTAAAAGGGTACTATCAGGTTGGGAGGGGGGTGGGTGAATGCTTGGTCCTCAGGGTCCTCCACTTGAGCCAAGAAACAAGTTTGGAAAGAAGGACAGGACTAGAAAATGTGAGGTCACAATGGAGGCAGCCCAAGTCCTTTTTCATACACCCTAGTTTTCTGGATGGGAGATGTTGGAGAAATAATTAAAAATAAAAGGTCATCTTAGAATTTTGCCTAAACGAGTGATTTCGGATTTTGGCCTGCAGAACAATGGATTTAGTTACTATTTACTGAAGGATAATTCACCCACAGATATACAAGTATTTTTACATGATAGATGTATTATTTTTATTTACTGTTATATTTGTTCAGTACCTGCCTTATTCTCAAGAGAGTCTGTGGTGGTCACTCCCACAAGTGATGGACACACACGAACACACAACTCAAACCGAAATAACCTCTTTAACAAAAATACATACACCCAGACTCACTGACAAAATAAATACATTTACATACCCCGACTGGAATAACGTCTATCTGAGTACTTATCTTGTGACAGACACTGTCATATCTCCATGAATACATACAGACCTTTCATAGATTGCTCTATGTTACTGGTATGTTTGTTAGCGTGTTTTATTTTTAATTTCAGAATTTATTTTGAATATCCCTTGTATGATTTAGTATAGTTCTACTTTATCACATTTATTTTTTTAAGTTTTTTTATTTAGAGAGAGACAGAGCATGAGTAAGGGAGGGACAGAGAGAGTGAGACGGTGAGACAGAGCATCTTAATCAAGGTCCTCAAGGTTCCACACACAGAGCCCGACATGGGGCTGGAACCCACGAAACCTTAAGATCATGGCCTGAAACAAAATCAAGTGTCAGATGCTTAATCCACTGAGCCATCTAGGTCCCCCTACTTTATCACATTTAAAGGCTGCTGCTTGCTGTTGTACTTCATGGATTAGCATATTTACCATAAAATCTACTGAATATTTGTATTGACTCAACTAAACTTTGAAGGATATTCTTTATATAAATCTTTGAATTATATTAGCATATAGCCCAATAAGTGGAATTACTCAAGTGAAATATTGCTTATTTATAATCTTTTTTTCCTCAAACTATGCATATATTTTCTGGCTTATTTAAACAAAATTGTTGCTTCGTTAATTTAGAAGTTATTTTCTCTTTTTTAAATTTTGAGACAAACTCTGCTTAGTAGAGATGTTATTTTTTTTAACTGTATTGCTGGATACTATTTTTTAACATTTTAATTAAGTTCTCTATTCACAAGAACTGACAACTGACATATGCTTTCCTATTAGTTTTGTGTCTAAATGATACTCCTAGTTCTTTTTACCTTTTCATACTTTTATTGAAGCTTCTATTTTAAGTCACAGAATAAAGTGAACACCCACATACCATTGTCTATATTGGACAAGTTTAACATTTTCCCGTATTTGCTGTATGTTTGCTGAAACATTTAAAAACAAGTTAGGTGTATTTCACTCCTTAATACTTCGGTATGTATTTCTAAAACGAAGCACATTCTTTACTAGAGCATCTATGCTAAAACTCCCATAATTGTCCGCAAATATCTTAAAAAATTTTTTTTTCCATAACCAGGATGCAGTGAAGACTACAAATTACGTTTAGTAGTTATTACAGGTAGGCCCTCTGCAAACGCCAGAACTACAGACCTGCCAGAGAGCAACAATCCCCATACCCTTTGAAAGATAGGGTTTTTTTTACATCGCTATTTACAGAAGTGCACGCCAAAGATTATGGTAGACGCAGCCTGGAGTCTTATTTGCTTACCCAGCAGTACTTGCGCCCGGGCGGTGTAGAGTGCTGCGCACGCGCAGCTCCGCCATCTTCCTGGTTCCCCCTCCGGTTTAGTGAAGCCGGATATCCAGTTTCCGGATTTCCCAGTAACTCTCAAGGTCCTGGTTGCCCACCTTCCTAACGGCAGAGGTTAGAGCGTGGGCCCCGTGGGAAGAAGCGCTGATCGGCGGTGGGGAGGATGCCCGGGACCCCGCAGCGGGACTCCAGATAGTGGGCGGGGGCGTCTATGTCCGGACCATTGGCTTGGGTTCGAGTGGTCTCCCCCAGCGCTGAGACCCTGTTCCTGTCAGTGCGCCCGCGGGACGTGTTGGGGGGGGGGTGTGCTTGCGCATGCGTGAGGGTGGGCTCTGCCTGCGTGGAGAGCCCCGTGACTGGAGTTTGGCGTGGCTTCCTGCTCTGTAACAAGTACGGTGAACGTCGTCCCTTTTCTCTTTGTCTTCAATGGCCTCAGTATCTAGGCAACCAGAAGTTCCAAAAGCTGCAGATTTGAGGTCCTGGGTGAAGGTTCCAAATACGAATTTGTTTGCTAATCTTATATCCTTATTTCCAAATTAGGGTTCTCGTAAGGTTAAAGATCTAGAAGTCCAGAAATAAAATCTCATCCTGGTGAGAACCCTTGGGACGTTTGATCCCTCCCCAGAATTTCAGAATGAAGACAGTCCCAGAAAGGGGTAGGTCCTGGAACTGCAGGGCATAGCATAGCAATTCTTTCCTGTTGCATAAGGTGCCACTGTAACCGAACTAACCTGAGTTCGCTCCTTGGCGAGTGACAGATACGAACGACACCAGGTCGAGTTGTACAAAGGAACATTTGCAACAGATAAGGAGGTCGAGAGGAATAACTTCCATAGCCCTGACTCCCTGAGCAAAGTTGGAAGGTTTGTTTTTATTTAGAGTTAGGATGAATATTTAGCAAGCTGATCCTCGTCATTGTATGTAGAGTTGGCTTAAGGTCGTGTAGTTAGTTGCCTTAAGGCAACGTGCTTGAGCCCACACACATTCTGTGTTATGTAAATGGTGCCCCTGTTTGAAAAGAGATGTTAGTATTAGAATATGATGGTTTCCACACCTAGAGGTCACTCCATGGTACCACCTGCACAGGTGGGAGTCAGGAGTTAAGCTCAAAGTGGTCTGGGCGGTGTTGGGGCAGTTGGTATTGAGGCAGTCGCTATCCTTTGACGGGTGATTCCGATTTCCATTTGCCTTTGTTAAGAGAAGCTAGAAAGAGCTTAAGGAAAATGTGGGACCGAGATTGGGGAGTACAAGCTGGTGAACAGTAAAGGTCAAGTCTTAGGGTCTAGCACGTGACAAATCCCTCCTCTGGTTCTTTTTTTTTCTTTCTTTCTTTTTTCTCTGCTCCTCATTCTTGAGGGACGTAGGGCAAAGGTCCATCTTCTAGTTGCTTCGTGCTGGACATGGGCTTAGTCATCAGGATTGTTAGTGGAGCAGAATTTTCCCTTTGCTAGTTTTAGATACATCTGTGGGTCACCAGGTTTAACTTCAAGCTTTTGTGTTACAACCGTCTGTAATTTTTGGCTTTCATGCATTTGTGTATGAATTGTACCAGTTAACTGTACAAGGTCCAAACAGCAGCAAGAGCAGTAGGATTATTAGTGGCCACAAGAAGGGATGACTAACATACTCTGGGTGTCCTGGGTGTGTATAGTCTCTGTGCAGGCCCCTACTGAGTTAAGCCAGTTAAGCAGTTTGGGGCTTCAGGAGACTAGGGTCCATTCCCTGTATTACTTTGTGATTTACTTGATCCCAGGCCATCATTCTCAATGCCTTGGGTGGCAGATAAAGCAGTTTCCAAATCCCCAAGTCTGTCCAGTGCTGTTCATGCTCTACATTGATTTTTCCATGTCCCAGCAGTACTGTGGTATTTCTTTTCTGGACACTTACGAGTTTTGTTTGGAGAGCAATATCAGTAACATCAAAGGTAAGAGGAACTATAGGAGTTGGGTCTGGGTTGTCATTCCCTTTCTCAGGAGTGTACTTGTAGCACGGCTTTTGGTCTGAGGTGGGATTTAAGTATCTTGTTTTCCTCTCTGCATCATTAATGACAGGAGTAAGGTGGTCACACGGAAGGTCCCTGTGGGAATGGCTTAGTTGTATAGCTATGGATGGGGAGTTTCAAAGGATTTAGGGAAGCTCACAATGAAGTTAATGTTATGGTCATTTTTTATTGGATGGAACACAGGCCATACAGTTCTTTAGTTTGTTTCTGTTTGCTATGAACCTTCTTATATTTACTAGAGAATTTAGCTCCCAGAGATGCTTCTCTGTGTTTATGGCTTTTGACATCTGTAGCATATTGGTGACGAGAACTAATGTTGAAAAGGTGTTCATTATATAATCAAAACAAAGTAGGTTGGACTAGATCATTAATAATTACAGACATAATGATAATCCTTTATGGGACCTGACAGCAAACAGTAAGGGTGAAGAAAAAAAAATTATTTAGAGTCGGGAAGCCTTTTTCTTTTCTTTTTTAAGTTTATTTATTTTTGAGAGAGAGAGAGAGAATATACCATGCAGGCTCTGTACTGTCAACACAGAGCCTGAAGCAGGGCTCAAGCTCACCCAAAGTGTGGCTCGAACTCATGAACTGTGAGATCATGATCTGAGCCGAAGTTGGTCGCTTAACTGACTCAGCCACCCAGATGCCCAGAGAACCCTTATTTTTGAGGTTCCACTTATCTTGTGTCTCTGGAAAAGAAGTTTCAGGTCTGTGAGTGGTTCACTGGAGTACCTGTTGTCATCTGGCACTGGTAGCATCTCCTTCTGGGTTTCTGGTGCAGACTCCATCTCTGCCATCATGATCTAGGCACTACTCCCTCTAATTTTGAGGAGTGTGTGGTTCATAGTACTAGGTGGGCCCTGTCCATATATGGTATAAGTGATTCTGAGGTGACCCACTTTTCTTTCTTTCTTTTTTTTTTTTTTTAAATATTTTTATTTATTTCTAGGAGAGAGAGAGACAGTGTGAGCAGGGGAGGGTCAGAGAGAGAGGGAGACACAGACTCTGAAATAGGCTCCAGGCTCTGAGCTGGCAGTCAGCACAGAGCCCGACGCGGGGCCCGAACCCACGAACCACGAGATCATGACCTAAGCGAAAGTCGGACGCTTAACCGACTAAGCCACCCAGGCGCCCCAGTGACCCACTTTTCTAAATTTGAGGTACACCCAGTCCGCAGGGTAAAGTTTGATTTCACTGAGTAGAGGGAGGCCAGAATTCCCATACTTGTTGAACATGTCCATCACCTGTCAGGGATTAAGTATAGCTCTGGGTCTGGAGGTTTAAAAAAAATCAGAATCTTTTGGGAAGGGCCTCTCATAAGTCATTCAAGTGGACTGAGCTTTAGTTTGCCCTTTGGGGCAGCTCTCATTCTGGTGAGACTATGTAGAGTCTTTAACCAATTTTCCTGTGTTTCCTGGCATAACTTTGCCAGGGTCTTTTTCAGGGTTCTGTCAGCACATTCTGTCTTCCCAGAAGACTGAAGTCTCCAAGCAGAATGCCACCTCCACTTGATACTTAAGGCCTTGGCTACCTCAGAAATAATTGTTGATGTAAATGTTGACCCATTATTACTTTGGATTGACTTTGGCAATCCAAATTGAGGAATTCTCTTATTTATTTAAAAAAAATTTTTTTAATGTTTTTATTTCTGAGAGAGAGAGATACATACAGCGTGAGCAGGGGAGGGTCAGAGAGAGAGAGAGAGAGATACAGAAACTGAAGCAGGCTCCAGGCTCTGAGCTGGCTGTCAGCACAGAACCCAGTGCAGGGCTCGAGCCCATAATCCGTGAGATCATGACCTGAGCTGAAGTCAGGCGCTTAACTGACTGAGCCACCCAGACGCCCCAGGAATTATCTCTTATTAAGGCCTTTGTTACTTCATCAGCTTTTTCTTTCCTACAGGGAAAGGCCTCATCCGTCTAGTAAATGTATTTACAAATTCCAAAAGGCACTTAAACCTTCTAGGGGCCATTGGCATTACAGTGAAATCTTCTTGCCACTCCTCCCCTGGCATTGTCCCCCAGATTTGAGTTGCTCCAATCAGAGGGAGTACCAAGAGTCTGGTTTGTACATTTTGTCCAGCAATAATAGGCACATTGGTTTGTTATTCTCTCAATTTCTTTCACCTTCGAGATGCTCATGATCTTTATTAACCACAGGTATAAAGCTCCTTTACTTTAATGGTTGAGTTGTGCGCATAGTTAGGGAGGCTCCAGGCAGTCAGCGTAAGTACCCAGATTCTTCCATTGTTATTTATCATTCATCCTCTGATGAACAGAGATCATTGGTAGCCCAGTTTTAAGCCTCCTCTATCTCCTGGGGGTAGATGGAGAAATCTTCATGGTAGAGAGAGAATTAGGGCCGCTGCAAAATCTCCCGACTTGACAGCCCTTTTTGTGGCTGCATTAGCCAAATTGTTTGCCTTTGTTACCTCTGACTTTCCCTTTGGATGGGCTCTACAATGAACCCCTGTCGCTTCTTAAAGCTTCAGTACCGCTTTGAACTGCCTGTGCGTTTCCTTGCCGTGTTGAATTTCTTCATGGTCACTGTAGTCCTCTTTCCCTCCATGTGATTCCATGGGCATGAATTACAGAGAAGGCATATTTAGAATCAGTGTAAATGGTTAACGCCTTGTCCTTACCCAACTCAAATTCTCTGGTTAGTGTGGTTACTGCTGCCATTTGGGCTGAGGTGCTTGGGCCCAGTCCTTTAGCTTCCCTAAGAGGATTTAAGGGCACTACTGCATATTCTGCCCTTCCTAGTCCATTTTCTGTAAAAGTGATTTCTTATGCACTGGTTAGAGAGGTTCACTCGTGAGATCTTTGCAGCTAGAGTAAACTCGATCAGACACTTACAGACAATCATCATCAGGGAGTAGGGTGGCTGGATTTAAGGTGTGGCGTGGCCTCGGTTGTATCTGGGGGGTGGGTATCTCAGCATGGCCTGATATCATAGCATCCTGTTTTGGGACAGCCACTGATATCCCTTGCTTTCCAGTAAAGTAGAAACCTGGTTTGGGGTCCAAACAGCCATAGGTTGGCTCATAGTTTTTCTGCTTTTGTCATGATACATGTGGCTGCTACATGATACATGTAGGCAAGGGGGCCATCCTGTGGCCATCATGTCCAATTGCTTACAAAAATATGCCACTGTTCTTTTTATGGGCCCCAGCATTTGTGTTAATGACCCTACAGTTATTGATTGCCTCTCATGCACTTGCAAATCAAATGGCTTAAGATCTGGCAGTGTGAAGGCTGGAACCTTCCTAAGCAGGGCTATAAGTTTATTGAAGACTTGGCCAAAGGACTTAGCCCATGCAGATGCATCTGTTTCAGATTCCCGAAGCTTATCACTGCGAGGTTTTGCAGTCATCCCCAAATTAGGAATCCACACACTCCATTCCCAAAGACTCGTGCAGTTGCTTGCAGGTTCTTGGTGGGGCCAGCTCACATACTACCATTTTTCTCTCTTTGGGGAGTCTTTGCTGTCATCTTGAAATAATAAACCCCAGGTACTTTACAGTTTCCTTAGAAGTTTGGGCCTTTTCCTTTGAGACTATATACCGTGCCTGGCAGGAAATTTAACATGGATCAACTGTTTTTGTCAGAAACTTTCTGGGTGGCACTAGCTATCGAAATATCACCTACTTGTTATAGTACAGTGCTGTTTTTCTATGTTTAACTCTTAAATCTCGTCCCAAAATTTCCCCAAAGATGGTAGGTGAACAGTCCAGCAGTACTGTTGTGTTTGATGGGAACCAGGATCTTCCCACTCAAAAGCAAATAGCTCTTGGAATTTAGGATCTAGTGGAATGCAAAGGCATTCGTTAGACCTAACACAATGTAATAATTGCTGTTACTCAGTAAATTGGTCAGTAGAGTATAGGGATTGGGTACTGTAGGATGTGTATGTCTCGAACAGCTTCATTACCAGCTCTGAGGTCTTGAACAAATCTGTATTCCTCACTTCCGGCTTTTTAACAGATAAAATTGGGGTGTTATATGGGGATCTACATGGCTTAATCAACCCCTGTTTTAAGAGCCTGCTTTAAGAGGATCCCTTGTATAGCATCTGGTTTTAAAGGGCATTTGCCTTATCTGGGGGTAGCCATCTATCTGTCCCAATTTTACTCTTTCAGATGGGGTGTTAATGCATGCCCCCACCTGCCCTCACACCCAGACTTTCTAGTTTACTTGGCATAAGGGTTTTTTGGGGGGAAAGGATTTCCTCTCTTTTAAATACTGGCATATGTTGTAATAATGCCATGAATTCAGTTCCTTGATATCTAGGGAGTTGGATTTGTAATTTGCCCTGTTCTGAACTTAGTGTGGCCCTTGTTTTGGCTAAAATATCTCATCCTTAAAGAAGACTGGGACATTCTGGCACATATAGAAAACAGTGTTTTAACATCTTGGATCCTATTTCACAAGTCAAAGCCTCCAGAAACTTTGGTATCTCTTTTCCTGAGACTCCTTCTATATTACAATTAGAAAGGCTACCCTACTGAGTGTTCAGTACAAAGAAAGTAGCTCCAGTATCAAGTAAAAATTCAGCTGGCTCTCCTATCGGTAAGGTTATCTGGGGCTCCTCATGGGAGATGAGGATCTAATGGTCCAAGACCAACTGGGGAGCCCCATAGCCCTCTCATACCTTCAGTGAGAGACGACTGAAATGATTCAGCTTTATGCTTCTTCCTTCTCTTCTGAGAGCAGTCTGGGCAATCCTGTTTCCAGGACCCTTCCTGCTTAGAGTGTGCACCTTGATTGGACCCCAACTTTATTTCTGGTCTCTTAGGCCTATGGAGGGGCCTGGGAGCACTCACCCATAGGGTGTTTTTCCTTCTCCTCATGTAGGCTGGAGAGCTACCACCAAAAGAGCACCTTGCTTTTTCATTTTCTGGTCTTCACGTTTCCCACCACATTCTTGCTATTGAACACCTTGAAAGCTAGTTCTAGAAACTGAGCCAGGTTAGTATTGAGACTCATTGCCAAATTTTGGAGTTTCCTTTGGATGTCTGGAGCAGCTTGAGATATGAACTAGGTTATTAAGGACCATTAGACTACCCTGAGCCTCAGGGTCCCAGTTCATATTTCATCTTAAACAGTTTTGTAGCTTTCTGAAAAGACTAATGGATTCTCATCTGTCCCTTGTTGAATCTCCCTTAAATGGGACCTATTTATAGGAGACCTGCTTATCTTCTTCATAGCTTTTAAGAGAAGCCCTGACAATGTCCTAAACTTTCTCTCCCATCAAGAGAGTAGTGTTCCCACTCAGGGTCAGCTCTTACCACTGCTTCCTCGTTCAGTCTTCAAAAACTTGATCCTGGCTGATTATCAGCTTCTTGTCTGGCTTATGCTAACAAAGCAAACTTCTCTTCTGTTGTTAAAAGACAGTGGTTAGCAAAGCTTGACTATCTGCCTAGGTTGGTTTGTTCATAGAAAAGACATCCTGCATTAAATTTATAAATCAGGTCAGCACATAGCCCTTGAGTGTGTGCCTTCCAGTTATACAGGTCTGAGGTAGAAAATGGGACATGCTCATTATAGAGACTCCTGTCTCTTTTAGACTCTGTCAGTCTCTATCTGTCTCAATGGAAACATTCCCATCCCTAGCTTAAAATTGGTCCCTAATCTGGTAGTGCTATCTGGCAAAGGAGGATAAAGGGATACAGGAGACATAGGGAAGGCTTTGGGACATTAGTAAAGGTTTAAAGGCTGGTGCTTATGAAACTGGGGGAGCCAAGACCTGAGTACCAGAGCAGTAAGGCCAGAGGAGATGGCAATCTGGGCAAAGATTCCGTGTAGGTTTTTTGGAGCAGGTCTTCTTCATCAGAGAGTATAGGAAGAATTTTTAGGGTTGTAGAGTCAGCCTTCATTTTAGAAATCTTAGAATTCATTTGGAACCCCATATTTTGATATAATGCCATAAAGCACTGACTATACAAAAGCTCTTTCCATTTTTTCTCTTTTACAAAATAAGCTCAGAAGAAAGTCCTATGCTTTTGGGTTAAGGGAGGCTATTTGAATGAATGCTTTCCACTTCTGGAGGCTACAGCCGAATGACCTCTCCTTCAGAGTAGAATTTGTCCCTCCTGTATCGTGGGATTCTTTCTTAGGGTTTCCTCTTACCCTCCACAAAGTAATTTATGATGGACCGTGGTGACACAAATGCCATGCAGCCTCACCCACAATATATATGAGATTCAGTTGATTTAAAAACAGGTTCACAAGGAGAGAAAGTTAATGCTAAGGCGTCCAGTCGGTGTGGGTAGTTGTACCTTACAGAGTAGTGGCTGGTGCAGCAGGATCCTCTTCCACCCCCTCAGCATTCAGGTGGCTCCAAAGGATTTACTTGCACAGTGGCTCAGGGAGAACCTGGCTGAGATTCAGTAACTCAAGGCACACTTCCCTTTTTAAGAGGAATAACAGTAGTGCAGGTGTCCCTGACAATCATTAAACAGGTCAAACAGGTAAGATGGAGATACCCTTCACCATGGCTGATTCTAGACTAGTCTCGGTTGGGCCACTTTCTCTTGGCCAGGTCATGTTGTCCTGTGTCACCCAGGAATGTCTGTACCCGACTCTAATCGAGTATTCAATCCCCCAGAGTGTCTACCGGAGAGGCCCTGTGCTTAACTGACTGCCGGCCTGCCAGGCTTTGTGAGACAACTCAAAGAAGATACACTTCTAGTCACACCATAGGATCTGTACCACTTACCTACCTCTGTGGAGAGATTCTCAGAGCAAGAGGCTCAGGGCGGCCGCAGTTCCTTCAAAGGGTCAGCAGTGCCAGTCCAGTGACACAGACCCTAAGAAGGGAGCGTCCCCTCCAAGGATTCCTACCCCAGTTCCCAGCGTGGATGGGGGAGCCCGCATGAGCTGCTGCCCACCGCTGCATCGGTGGGGAACCAGGTAAGCAGAGGGCGGGACCTCAGAAGGACAAGAGTCCCATTTGCACTGCCAAATTTGTAACCCAGGTAACAAGAGTTTGCTCCTTGGTATGTCACAGATAGAAACTACATCAGGTGGAGTTGTTGCACAAAGTAAGAGGATCATGGGGAGTGACTTCCAAAACCTGACCCTCTGAGCAAGGGTAAATGGCTTCCTTTGTTTAGGAATAGGATGAATATTTAGATAGGGAAGCCTTGTCTGCCACAGCTCACACGCACACTCTCTCCCTCTCTCAGAGCGCACTTTCACCTTAGTAAACTTTCCCACTGTGTTGGGTCTGTCCTTGAGTTCTTTCTTGTGATGAGACCAAGAACCTTTGACGACATCTTTGGGATGGGCTCTGGGTTGAGGAGCCATGGCCCAGGATCTCCCCAGTTTACCCAGCAACACTTTCTACATACCCCACATTAATTTCCCCTGTTTTTAACATCTTATGTTAGTGTGGTACATTTGTCCCAATTAACAAGCCAATAAAGCCCATATTTTCTCATATTTCCTCAGTTTTTCTGTAATGTTTTTTTTTCTGTTCTAGGTTCCTTTCTAGGTACTGCACTACATTTAGTAGTCCTATCTGCTTAAGATCCTCATGGTTATGATCACTTTTAAAACTCATCACTTCCTAGTTAATTTCCTTCCTTTTATTCATATCTCAGTTTCTAGGCTATTTATCTTCAGTATGGTACAAATGCTATATAATGGTATGTCATTGCACATTTCTTCCCAACTCTGTTCAGTGACATCATGTTGGTAGTTTGAAATTGGCCGTGGCAGGAGTATTTATGCCTCCGAAATTGGCAACTACAAGTCAGGGGCTTTTGTTTTTTTTTTTAATTTTTGTTTATTTTTTTTGAGAGCCTGTTACTAGATATTTTCCTCAATTGGTACTACCTCTCTGTGGCCATTCTCTTTTTAGGAGCCAACAGAACATAGGAAGGCATTTTATTCATGGGTGTACAGAGTATTTGTAGGCAGGTAAATCCAGAAGCTATAGGAGAGGCAAGATCATTTATGACTCCTCTCTCTTTTGTTATTTCTCAGTTGTGTCTGCACGTGTGTCTATGCTTCTGTAAGAACAGCAGAAAATGAACAAATCCCAGGTGAGTTTTTTTTTTATTATTATTATTATTTTTTTTACAAATAGTTTATTGTCAAATTAGTTTCCACGTAACACCCGTTTTTTTAATTATTATTTCCTACTTTATTTACATTAGATCCTCTGAATAAGGTATAACCATTAAAATGTAAACATAGAAATAGGTACCTGTCAAGTTTGGAGGGCATAGGGAGTAGCAGGTTAGTAGCAGAGCTAAGGAGGTGTGGCAGTGACCTTCAAGTGCTTGAAGTTATCTATGCTGAACTCTACATTTATCTCGGATAGCAGTAGCAAACATTATTATAGGTACTGCAGTGAAAATAAGATTAAGCCATAATAATTCTTAATGGAACATAAAGACTGTCCTGAAATTGAAGTCTGAGAACATGGTAGAAAGAGAGAACATGTTGCCAAAGCATAACTGGTTTAGATTATCAAGAGAGCATTATACTCAGATCTAAACAGTGAGCTGGTCATGCTCTGCTCAAATTTAAGATAAAACCTCCTAGTATCTTGAGAAGTGATGGATGGGCAGAATAAACAATTTACTGTAACTCTTGAGAATGGTTTTGGTTTTTGTTTATATTTTCCTGTGCTGTTTTTTTCAGCAGGAAGTTCAAATTCTATTACCTGGAAAATATTCCTGTACATTATGTTTCCATCTTACACCATTGCATGCAATTTTGGTTCTTTCCCACCACCTGCCTGTGTTTGTTCTGGTGACAGTCACGAGTGAATGTGATCTTATTGCTTGGCAACATTTCTTCTTTTCCAGTAAAGCATTTAATATTTTAAATTTCAATCTAAGCACTACTTTAGTTGCATCTCACAAATTTTCAAAAGTTGTGTTTTCATCTTGATTCCATGTAAAGTTTCTCTATTTTCTTTGAAGCTTTTATTCAACCCCTGGGTTATGTAGAGTTGTGTTTAATTCCCAAATAGCTGGAGATATCCAGGTGTTTCTGTTACGGGTTTCTAGTTTGGCCAACAAACATAATCTGTATGATTTCCTTCCTTGTCAATTCTTTGAGATTTGTTTTATGGCCCAGGAAACAGTCTATTTTGGTGACTCTCCCATTTGCACTTAAAAACAAAGTATATTCTACAGTTGTGGGTTGGCATGTTTGGTAAATGTCACTTAGATTTAGTTAAATGATGGTGTTGTTTAGGTCTTCTGAAGTCTTTCCAATGACCTCTTCCATTAATCACTGAGAGAAATATTGAAATCTCCAACTATATTAATTTTTGTCTGTTTTTCCTTTCAGTCTTACCAGTTTTTACCTCATATATCTTGAAGCTCCCTTGATAGGTGCATAGGAGCACCTTTATCATTAATGTAATGTGCCTATTTATCTTTGATAATACCTCATATAGTCTGTTTTGTCTGATAGTAACATAGCTACTCCAGTGTCTTTGGATTATTGTTTGTATTGTTTTTCTCCGTTTATCTGTAATGTATGTATTTTTATAGGTAAAGTTGAGTTTCTTGTAGACAGTATGTATTTGGTCTTGTTTTTGTTTTTTTTTTTTTTTTATCCAATCTGACAATCTCTTTACCTGGTATGATCAGAACATCCACATTTAAAAATCGATTATTAACATGGTATATTAAAATCTCCCATTTTTGTTAGCTATTTTTCTATTCTGTTCTTTATTTGTCTTTGTCTTTTTCTTTTCTTGGATTTTAGTTGAGTGTTTTTTATTATTCCATTCTATCCTTACTATTAACTTATTATTTATACCTCTTTTTTTAACTTTTAAAATAGCCAAGGACTTGTTGGGATGAGCACTTGGTGCTATATGGAAACCAACTTGACAATAAACTGTAATTAAAAAATTAAAATAAAATAAAATAGCCAAGGACTTACAACACACATTTTTAACTAATCAGAGCTTTCCTTTGAATATTAAACCACATGATGCATAGTATAATGACCATACAATAGTATATTTCCAAGGTCTTCCTTCCTGTGCTTTGTGTTATTTTTTACTTTACTTTAACATATTTTTGTTTACTTTAACATACGTTATGTACACATAATACAATACAGCTATTTTTGCTTTAGACAGTTATGTTTAGAATAAGGATTAGCAGCCTACAGCACGTGGGTGAAATTCAGCTTCCTGCCTGCTTTCACAAATTAAGTTTCCAGGGAACACAGCCACAAGCATTATTTGATGTGTTGTCTGGGTCTACCTTCACAATACAGTCTAGTTTACTTTCTAGGTCATTACAGAAAAAGTTTTCCCACCTTTGTTTAGAGCACTTAAAAATTGTGGAGGGAGGAATTAACTTAAATTTTCCCTTATTTATTCCATTTCCATTTCTATCACTATGTATAGATTCAAGTTTCACTGATGACATATTCCTTTGACATTTCTTGTAGAATAGTTCTGCTGGTAAAGAATTCCTTAAATTTTTATTTTTCTGGGAAAGTATTCTTCATTTTTGAAGATCTTTTCATTAAATATAGAATTCTTGGTTGACAGTTACTTTGTGTTTTTTTTAATTTAAAAATTTTTTAAACTTTTAATTGAAGTATTGTTGACGTATAATAAATATTAAATAAGTTTCAGGTATAAGACAGTGATGCTCATCCCCGTAGTGAATTACAGTATTGTTGACTACATTCCTTAGCTGTACTTTTCATCCTCACACCTTATTTATGTTATAAATGTAAGTTTGTACTTCCTAATCTCCTTCACCAACTTCACCCGTTTCCCCCCACCCCCACCCCCGCCCGGTTTGTTTTCCATGTTTATGGGTCTGTTTCTCTCTTTTGTTGTTGTTATGAGTCTTTCTTTTTTTCTGTTGTTTGCTTGTTTTTTTTAGATTCTACATGTAAGTCAAACATAAATGAAATTATATGGTATTTATCTTTCCCTGTTCAATTTCACTTAGTATAATACTCTCTAGGTTCAACCATGTTGTCACAAAAATGCAAGCTCTGATTCTTTTTTGTGGCTGAGTAATATTCCAGTGTGTATGTATACTGAATCTTTATCCATTCATTTATCAGTAGACACTACTGTTGCTTCCATATCTTGGCTATTGTAAATAAACACAGGGGTGCACATATCTTCTTGAAGTAGTGTTTTTTCTTTGGGGGAGTAATTCTATTACTGGGTCGTATAGTATTTCTATTTTTAATTTTTTGAAGAACTTATAGATTGCTTTGCATAGTATGAAAAACATAGTGGCAGCAACACTTTCTCACCATTCTGTCCACTTTTTGATTGGCGTATTTAGGGTTTTTCTTACATGTTTATGAATGCTTTATATGTTTTGGATATTAACCCCTTATCAGACATGTCATTTGCAAATATTTTCTCCCATTCATTTGGTTGCCTTTTCATCTTGATGGTTTCCTTCACCGTGCAAACGCTTTTCAGTTTGATGTATTCCTGTTTATTTTTGCTTTTATTTCCCTTGCATGAGGAGATTGATCCAGAAAAGTATTGCTAAAGTTGATATTTGAGATATTATTGCCTATATTTTCTTTTCGGAGTTTTATGGTTTCAAGTTTTACTTTTGGGTCTTTTTTGAGATTATTTTTGTCTATAGTGGTCCAATTTCATTCTTTTGCACATAGCTGCCCAATTTTCCCAGCACCATTTATTGAAGCAAATGTCTTCCTATTGTGTATTCTTGCCTCCATTGTCATAGGTGAAGTATATGTATGTACATATATGTATGTATGTATACACACATGCACGCACACATATAGGTTTATCTCTGGGCTCACAGTTCTGTTCCATTGACCTATGCATGTATATTTGCAGCAGTATCATACTGTTTTGGTGTGTGGGGTTAGCTCCCCACCTCCCCAGAGCTTGAGTCACTTTGGAGAGGAACTTTCCCTACTGAGGCTGCCCTCCAGGTTGGTGGGCTGGGAGCGGTTTTGGAGGAGCACCTTCCAGGGTGGGTTGATGGTGCATGTCTTTAGGGGAGCACTGGGTGGGGCACATTGTGATAGAAAGGTAGATGGAGAGTTTGTACTGGCTTGTGTAAGCATCTGGCCAGGCTCTGGGAGGACAAGAAAAATAGTGCCCTCTAGCTCCCTTGTTTTTGGAGAAAGCTTCTGCAGATCCCTGCCCTTCCTGCACACATCCTAAAATTAGTCCATGAATTTTCAGATATACCCCCAGGTGATTTTCAAATGGCTGCTTTTGTGCTGTGATTACAACAACAATGATTTTCTTCTCACTCATTAGGCATGTCACTTTGCTTTATTCTATGGCTCCTGGTGAAATTGTGTCTTTATTCCTTGTTTTGTAGTGTTTCATTGTCCCTTGACTGCACTCAGGATTCTCATTCTTCTCTCTCTCTTTAGATATTGTGTGTCTTTATGCTTTGGGGAAGCATTTATGCTACTTGGTATTCTTGAGCTTCTTGGATCTTAGATTTGTTTATTAACTGTCATTAATTGGGAGAAATTTTAAGACACTATTTTTTGGGGCACCTGGGTGGCCCAGTGAATTAAATGTCCAGCTCTTGGGTTCAATCCAGGTCATGATCTCACAGTTCCATGAGTTTGAGCCCCACATTGGGTTCCGTGCTGACGGTGTAGAGCTTCCTTGAGATGCTGTCTCCCCTTCTCTCTGCCCCCCATCTTCCACTCATGCTATTACTTTCTCTCTCAAAATAAATAATCTTTAAGACACTATTTCTTAAAGTGGTTTTTTGGTCCTATTCTTGTCCCCAGCCCCCCAGGTCCCAATTATGCATATGTCAGAGCATTTTATTATATTTCACAGCTTTTTAATGTTTTGATCTCTTCCATCTTCTCTTTCAGTTTCTGTTTAGGTAATTTCTATTTACCTGTCTTCAGATTCGTTTATTCTTTTCTTAACGGTGTTAACTGCTGATCGGCCTGTTGAAGCATTTTTTCAATCTGTTACTATATTTTTATTTCTAGATTTCCAGTTAGTTCTCTCTGGTGAAATTATCCATTTGATTTTGCATATACTATAACTGTCCTATTAGAGTCTTAAACATACTAGTTATAATTAAAATCTTGTTAGGTAGTTTCAACATCTATGTCATATCTAACTCTGGTTCTGATGGTTACTTTGTCTCTTAGTAGTATCTTGTTAGTTTCTTTTCATATGCTTTATAAATTTGCTTTTGAAATGTATAGGCAGCATGTGAGTTAACTGTTTCCGATATTACTCCCACGGCATCACAGGCTTCAAGTTTCTAGAGATAACTTATGTTTTAGGATACTGGTTTATTTACAGTTATGTCTGTTCATTTCTGAGTTTTAAGAGTTCTCTTTGCTTTCTGTCTCAGAGACGGTCTCTTTGCATGTTTTTATTTATCTCTTGTCCATCTGTCAGCAATATTCTGTTGATACGTTTTACTCCAAGCTTGTTAGCTTGGTGGTGAGAAGTTGTCGGCAGAATGTGTCCTCTTTCTGAAATCCAGCCTCAGTGTTAGGTCTGACCTGTGTGCTGTGGGAATGTGGTCTTCCTGGTTCTCTTGCCCCACCCCCCACCCCAGCTGTACTTGTCGACTCAGTGCATAATCCTGCCCTTCCGCCAGGGAGAGAGTAAGTTCCAGTGGGGTTCCCAGAGAAAAAGCCTGTAAGAAGGTGCAAGTCTCAATGTCTGTGGTCTGAAGGGGTTTCACACTGCTGTGTCCGCTCACACTCAGTCTTCATTAATAAGTATGACCCCTATTCTGGTTGAGTTCTTCTTACCTGTGGTCCAACTCAGGCAAAAACACACATTTTGATTTAGTCTCTTCCTAGATTTGGGGAACTTGGGTACTTTGCGACCGTGGCTCTCTTGTAAGTTGGCGGGGGTGGGGTGGGAGGAAGTTGTGAATTTGAAGTTAGTCTGGCTCATTTTCATTGTAGGAATGAGTGGTTTTCTTATTGCTTTATATATCGTGGGGTAGAAGCTGAAGTCAACCTATGTTTTTAATGCTTTCAGTATTTTATTTATACTATACTGCTTTGTAACCATAAAGAATATTTGTCCATTATGTTTCAAGCCCTACAGCTTTAACTCTTTAATTAAGCTAAGCCTAAGCCATGACACAAAACAGTTAATTTTTCTTTTCTTTTTTGACTCCACTGTACTTTTTACATATTCTAATATATTCTAGTAACACCTTATCTTCAGTTTTGGAGCATGTCATGTTTGTATAATATTTAACTTTCTAGAGAATAAGAACAGTGTTTTATTATTTTTAGCATTTACAACACCCAGAACATTTCAAGGCATAGGATATTAATAAAGTAGAACAAGCATGATGTTGTTTTCTTTTTTTTTTTTTTGTCTTGTATAAAATCTAACCCAAAGAAATATATGTAGTAGGCGTATTGTAAGAAATACTCAACAGTGAGCCCGGCAAGAATTAGTTCCCATATTTCTTTCCTGTGCCACCCTAATTATGACCACTTCAGACTGAACAGAAATGTGCTATTCCAGGGGTCACTGTTATTTGGGGATGTGACTGTGGACTTCTCCCGGGAGGAGTGGCAGTGCCTGGTCCCAGCACAGAGGACCCTGTACAGGGATGTGATGCTGGAGAACTACCACAACTTTGTCTCAGTGGGTAAGCAGTTTGCTCATCAAACTTTGTATAGCATCCATTCTATTTCTTAGATACCAAAATGTTTGGTCTTTTGTGGTTAATATTGTTGAGACTTTTGCTTCAGGAGTCTGAGCCGGTTAATCTCTTTGAGCACAAGGAAGAATTTGTATTCTCACATGCCATGAAAGATTTAAATGAGCCTCATTATGGTCTGGCTCCAGAAACTCTACCTGCTCCCTCCTTTAGAATTACTGTGCCCATGCAGCCTTGCCCAAATTCTGTGTCATTTTTCCTTTTATAGGGTTTCTCACTAACAAGCCAGAGGTGATCTCCAAACTGGAGGAAGGGGAAGAGCCATGGACAGTAGAGGAAGAATTTCTGTACCAGAACTACCCCGGTGAGTAGTGAGTACCGGCAGGTAAGGTTACTGAGGAAGCCAGGGGAAATTACAATCTTAGTGGTCAGTTTAGGAGTTAGACATTTCAAATGTTTTCCAAGAATCTCTTAGTGGCTCCTACTTTACAAGTAGAGAAAGGATACGTATATGATCATATTGGAAGAGAAAAGGATAATGCCTGAGAAAGAATGTAAGTTGGTTTTCTGATTATTCAAAGCTAGGGGTCCAAGGATATCATATATGCAGCAAGTGAAGTAACACAGGGTTTTTTGTGTGTGCTTAATAGCACAAAGCTAAAACTTAGGTACTAAGATCTACTAAAACTTGGTTCTTGAGGAGTAGGAAGGAAATAATGTTTTCACTGCTACACGTAGTAGAGTACTACTTGACGTTATATGAACAAATGGCACTAAATTAATGGGATTACAAATTCATATTTATCAGATTAACTACTGCAACAAAAGTACAGCCTTTTTAATTTTACAAGATTATATTTTTGTTTGTACCTAAAAACATTGGGAACAAGATATAAACAGTCTTATGTGCCTAAAAAACATTTCCAAATGAGTAGAAGTTTGTGATGCTAACACGAAACCTTCGGTAAATCCTACAAAGTAGAAGTAAGACATTCCCCAGTTATAGTCTGATAAGGCCAGAAATTGGTAACAAAACTATGAAGCCCAGAAGACAAACTAATTCTTTTTCTTTTGCATTTGTATTTCTTCCTTGTAAACTTCTAATATGTCTCATGTTCTTACTTTACATCAATATTAGTAAGAACTACGTTCCCTCATACCTTTCTTCCTTTCAGTTCCTAATTGTCGTTGGTGAGAGGTTTTTTGTTGTTGATGGTGGTGGTTTTGTTTGCCTTAGAACATCTCTTTTTTTCAGTAGCCTGACAAGGTAAATGTATGTCACCTCTATTACTTATTTAATGAAATTTAAATTAACTTGCCTTATGCATTATGCCTAATGACCTCACTTGCCATACTGCATTATGGCCTTATTTGGGTGCTGCAATTTAATTTTATGTTGCTTATGCTCAGGCTAAACACCATTTGATCCACTCATCAAATATCACTTAAGCATACTATTATCATTCCCATGTCACACCATTCTTCATTGTGTGCTTGCCTGAGTAAATACTACATGAACTAATGTATGAAAAGTCCTCAGAACAGTGTTTACTATATAAATAAAACATTATTTTTACTCTTATTAGGTTGAATTTCTTTATAATATAGGTTAAGTGTATCTGCTTCCAAGAAACAGACCTTGAATGTTTGAGTGAACGTAATCTCTTCTTTCTCACGGTGCTCAGCATGTAGTGGGTCTGGCACAAGAAATAAAAGCAGACTGTTTCCTGAAATATCTATCTTTTTTCACAGCTGATGAATGATATAACAGAAAATGGCAATCATATTACTCTCTCTTTCTTTGGTATATAACCTAAAATAGACATTTGATAAACACATGTTGATTTGAATCAAGTAGAAGAAAATTTTCATGTTCTGAAAACATCATGAGGGAACTCATTCTGATTACATACATGAACCTATAATTCTGATTCATCAGGTATAAAATGTCTAAACATTTGTGTTTGAAAACATTCTCCAGGTAATCTGATACACACAGCTTGTTGAAGTCTATTAATTTAAAATTATTCAGAGTGCCTGAGTGGCTCAGTCGGTTGAGTGTCTGACTTCGGCTCTGGTCATGATCTTGCGGTTTGTGAGTTTGAGCCCATGTCAGCTGTCTGTGGTGACAGTTCAGAGCCTGATGCCTGCTTTGGATTCTGTGTCTCCCCCCCTCTCTCTGCCCCTCCCATGCTCATGCTCTGTCTCTCTCTGTCAATAATAAATAAATGTTAAAATAAAATAAAATTACTCGGGTTCAAAGGAAATCAGAGAATCAACAACACCTCTTATGAGCAGTGGTATAAATTATGGTCTGCAGACCTACCACATGTTTTTGTAAATAAAAAAATTTTTTTGCAACACAGTCATACTCATTTGTTTACATATGGCCTTTGGCTGATTTCATGTACTAATAGCAGAACTCGATGTTGTGACAAACAGGTATGGCTTGCAAAGCCTAACATGTATACTGTTTTGCCTTTTAAGGAAGTTTGCCATCCTCTGGATTGCAGAATGAGGATAAAATTACATGAAACATTTTAAATTCAGTGTTTAATTAAGAAAAATTTGTCATACTCTCTCAAATCTAATAAGCCATAGTTTGTAACTGGACCATTATGTGATGAACCACTAAGAAAAAAATATTCTTACTATATTGGGACTTGTTGATCACAGATATGTGATCAATTATAAGATGCATTGTGAGTTTATAACTTAAATATATGTGGATTATATTAGGTGAGATACAGTATGTTACAAAGCAGTGTTGTGTTAAAACAGCTGGTCTGTGTAGGAACTACATTTAGATTTCGAATAAATATAAATCTTGAAAATCGTGAAAGGAGAAAGATTTGAAAAGGAATTCTTGAAATTTTAGAAAAATATTGCTATTTTGTCATCTTTCTAGATACTGAATAGACTATATTCTAACCTTGGCTCTGAGTGAGGGAACACACTTTGACCTTGTAGTCACGAATGAGTAATTAAATGAGACAAAGAACTGACTAAACTGGAGCAAAGGATATTGACTGGGGAGCTGTAGAATGGCAGCTGGAAAATCTGATGTGTAGGGGCACCTGGATGGCTCATTCGGTTAAGCTGACAACTTCGGCTCAGGTCATGATCTCATGGTTCATGAATTCAAGCCCTGCATCGGGCTTGCTTCTGTCAGCTCAGAGCCTGCTTCGGATCATCTGTCCCACTCCCCTGCTCACACTCTTTCTCTCAAAAATGAATAAACATCAACAACAAAAAAGAAAATCTGATGTGAATTTAGTTGGTGTAAATTTTGTTTGCTTGAATGATGACTTGGAACAGTTTTCCATGTAGTACATGGTTCAAGCCAGTGGTGGGGTTTTTTTGTTGTTGTTGTTTTTTGTTTGTTTGTTTGTTTTAGCTTGGGATAGACTTTGTTACAGTGGGTAGAAAATGTGGACAATACTTTTTAAATAGTAAATCAACATAAACGTTATTCATTTTCTTGGATTTGGTTGAAAAAATATGATCCTTAAATTTTGATAATAAATAGAAATGTAGAAATGTGAGCTGTGAACTGTAAAGCAAAATTAAGTATTAGTATTTTGGCACAGGCAGTGCTGTTTCAAGGAAAAGTTAGTGAACATACACGCCCACATCATGGTAGGTTCACCTGCTGAGTGGCTCTCGTAGAGCCTATGAAGGCATCAAAGCCAGAACAGGATGATACATCTGATCTGTATTGGCACAAGATTATTTGTGTTGTCATTGTTTTATACTTTCTGTTGGTTGTGGATATTCCTATGAATCATAATTGGGAGGAGAGTTAGAATGCAATCTAGTGACTCTACTTAAACATCAGCCAATTGGCTCATTCAGAAATTTACCTTGCTATTAGCGCGTAGGAGGAAAATACAACTGGGAGGATGAAAACTTGTTTAGATGTTACTAAACCCATATAGGTTTGAGGGTATGAGGTCTACTCTGTGGTCTCCTTAATGTCTCATACTTTCCCTCTGAACACCTTTGTCTACTGGATTTTCTTGTCACTCCAATTACTTTTCATTAGCTTCATTGGACCCATCTTATTTTCTGTGATTTTTCTCCTACCTGAATCTGTCACTCCTGTAGAATCTACCATCCTCTGTTTGCTGCTTATTGAATTTATATCTTCATTTATATTTTAACTGTTTTATTTATAAAGGGCCAAATAATTACGTCTTTGTGTTAATAGGTTTTCTCCCTTTTTCTATATAAGTTTTCTCAAACTAGATGGGAGAAAAAGGCACTTTGATCCTACGAGACTACCAAAACCAGAAGTCAAATATGTAATAGCGCATTTGTGTCTTAATCCAATTCATCTTGAACTGTAAAATCTTATGGTCTGTTCAATATTTTCATTTCTAGAAGACAACAAAACTCATTACCTAAAAGAGAGAATCCAGGAAAACCAAGACAGATATTTGCCACAAGTTGCATTTGAGAACAAAACACTGTTCTCAGAAAAAGTTCGTGCTTTAAGAAAATCATCTAATATGAGTACAGACTTTGTCTCTTCAAGAAAAATGACCTGTAACCACAACTTACATGGAGTGAGTTTGAAAAATATTTTATTATCAATTGCTAATAATAGAAACTCTTTAAGAAAAAAGCATGACATTTTAAATGTGTATGAGAAATTACGTGATATTAAGCAGGAAAAACCTCATACTCAAGAGACTTCTAATGAAAATAATCAAAATGAGAAAGACTTTGGTCATAAGAATGATATTATTCAGCACCTAAATACTCAGACTTCAGAGGAGACTTTAAAATATAATCATGGTGGAAAATCCTTAGGAGAAAAGACCATAATAATTCCACACAGGCAAAATGACGCAAGAAAGAAACTCTGTGAACATAAGGAACATGGTGGGGAAACCTGTGAGAAATCCTCTCTCTTGAAATGTCATGGGGTCTGTGTGGAAATAAAACAATACAGAAGCAATCAAATTGAAAATAATTTCAGTAGGATGTTACACTTCACTCAAGTCCAGAAAAGTCAGAGAGGTGAATGTCTATTCAAATGTAATGAATGTGGGCAAACTTTCAACTACAAGTCAAACCTTACAGTGCATCAGAGAACACACACAGGAGAGAAACCCTACCAACTTAATTCACGTAGGAAGACCAGTCACAAATCAACCATCACAGACCATCAGAGAACACATACAGGGGAGAAATTTCATAAATGTAGTGAATGTGGGAAGTCCTTTTACAATAAGTCGTCTCTCACTCGACATGAGAGAACATATACAAGGGAGAGGCCCCATGAATGTAATGAATGTGGGAAAACTTTCTGTGAGAAGTCCGCCTTCACTCAACATCAGAGAACTCATACAGGAGAGAAACACTTTCAGTATATTGAAGGCAGTAAAACTTTCTGTTGGCAGGGAGACAAAGGTACGTCAGAGGGTTCACACAGGAGAGAAACGCTTTCAATGTAATGAATGTGGTAAAACTTTCCATTGGCAATCAGACATTAAGCTACATCAGAGAACTCACACAGGAGAGAAACCCTTTCAATGTAACAAATGTGGTAAAACTTTCTATCGGCAGTCAGATGTTAATGCACATCAACGAATTCACACAGGAGAGAAACGCTTTCAGTGTAATCAATGTGGCAAAACTTTCTATTGGCAGTCAGATGTTCATGCACATCAGAGAACTCACACAGGAGAGAAACCCTTTCAATGTAATCAATGTGATAAAACTTTCCATCGGCAGGCAGATGTTAATGTTCATCAGAGAACTCATACGGGAGAGAAACGCTTTCAGTGTAATGAATGTGGAAAAACTTTCTATCGGCAGTCGGATGTTAATGCACATCAGAGAATTCACACAGGAGAGAAACCCTTTCAATGTAATCAATGTGGTAAAACTTTCTATCGGCAGGCAGACGTTAACGTGCATCAGAGAACTCACACAGGAGAGAAGCGCTTTCAATGTAATGAATGTGGTAAAACTTTCTATCGGCAGTCAGAAGTTAATGTACATCAGAGAACTCACACAGGAGAGAAGCCCTTTCAGTGTAAGGAATGTGGCAAAACTTTCTATCGACAGTCAGATGTCAATGCACATCAGAGAATTCACACAGGAGAGAAACCTTACAAATGTAACGAATGTGCAAAATCCTTTTACGAGAAGTCATCCCTCACTCGACATGAGAGAACTCACACAGGGGAAAAACCCTATGAATGCAGTGAGTGTAGTAGAACTTTCTGCCAGAGGTCAGCCCTCACTCAACATCTGAGAACTCACACGGGAGATAGACCTTTTCATTGTATTATATGTGGGAAAACTTACCGTCATCTGTCAGCTTTTAACGTACATCGGAGAACTCACACAGGAGAGAAACCCTTTCAGTGTATTGAATGTGAGAAATCTTTTCTTACAAAGTCGACTCTTATTAATCATCAGAGAACTCACACAGGGGAAAAACCCTATGAATGTAATGAATGTGGGAAAAGTTTCCGTCATAAATCTACCCTTACCACCCATCTGAGAACTCACTCAGGAGAGAAGCCTTATAAGTGTGAATGTGGAAAAACTTTCGGCCGGAAATCAGCCCTTACACATCATCAAGGAATTCACATAGGGTAGGAGCCCTATAGCAGAAATACGCTGTTTCCCCCAATACCCATTTCTCTTTTTTTTTTATGGTTACACAACTAGTGCAGATTCGCTAGCCTTCTTTCCATGCACATGAGACTATATGACCTGCACTCAAAATGTGGGCACAAATTCCAAGCCTGTAGAAGACCTCATTTGAAATTTTTCCTACTTCCATTTTTCTTTCCTTATCAAAGTGTAATGGAGATATCCTCAGGACAATTTAGGAGCTAGTCATTAGAGATTAGATTCATAACTCCTGGGCAGAATTCTGCCTTCTCTAACATCATTTTATAAGTCTTGTCATAAACAAGAAATAAATTTTGTGTTTTTTTTTTTTTTTTCTTTTTAGCCATTACATGTTTAGGGCTTTCTGTTGCCATTGTATATCCTAGCCATGCCTTATCCCATTACCCTGTGAATCTAATGAAGGTATGATAAACCCTGTATGTCAGAGAATTCATTTAGGGAGAAACCACTCTCAATATCCTGCATTTTAATAAACCTTCGTCAACAAGCCAAACATTTTGTAAATCAGAAAGTTACAGTGGAAACCCCAAAAATGAAGGCAGTGAAATTTTCACAAAGAAGCTACATCTGATTGACCAGCAGATAATTGAGAGTAGAATAAAGTAACAACATGAAAAATGTTTCAAGATTTATATATCAGAATACATAACAAAAAAAAATTGTCAGCTTAGGAAATGAGGAAAACATCCTCATCTAGTAATGATCTTATTCTAGAAGCGATGTTTTGGATGCATTAATAAATAGTTTGCAAGTAATATAAAACAATGTTTATTTAACGGTCTTGCTCAGCAAGAAACACATCACTTTGAGAAAGGTGCAAGTGAGTTGAGTTCTCAGAGCAGCAGCATTAAGTGTATATGAGTAGCCTCTGTGCTAGGTCAGGCTTACACACGTGACAGTGCTCTTTCACAACTATTTTCTGTATCCTTGATTTTTGTTTCAGACTCAAAATAGTTACAGTAGGAATGGTGCACCCTTACCTAAGTAACTTGTAACACATGCTAGAATTTCTGACACTACATACTATTGTCCTATCACATATTTACAGCACAACATACATGTATTTTTAAAAAGCACCGAATGCATGAAATACCATGTGTCATATGTGTTTTTTACTTTTTGGTGGCGTAGATAACTCCACATAGACCTTGTGAAGAAACTATCCTTTTAGTAAATCACCCAAATAACATTTAATAAAATCAAGATTCATTTGAAATATGCAACGATTCAGAACAGTTGTTTATGATACACATATGAGTTAATTTTCAAAAGTGGTCTTGAACGTTAGTACTTCTTACACTGTACAGATTGAAAGCAAGGCCCACTGAAGACATTCCCCCCATTTTTGTGTTACGTCTAAAGAGTATGTTTATGTCAGCTTAACTGCAAAGTGCCGAATTATGTGAGCAAAGAACTCTCTGCATTTGTATTTGTTGTGGTAGAATGCCCCATTCCCCCCCTAGAATTTGCATGATTTCCACAGATAAGCTGTTCTATGCCTGTCGCTTATTATTTGAGTGACCTATGTAGTGACTTCATCTTTCTGCTTCAATTTCCTGATCTACCTCACAGATAATGAATAGTTTGGGTTGAGATTTTTTGTTATTAGAGCCAAAAGCAGTTATGTTTAGGACTTGAACATTAGAAATAAAATAGTCATTACATGGTATGCAGTGTTTTTCTGCTTCTTGAGTTGATACAAGAAGATTCTTTTTAGAACGTTGTATTTTGTCAGGTTTGTCTTTAAACCTGAAGCAAATGTGTTTCACATATGAAACAAATGTGTTTAGATTAAACAGAATAATCTATTGACATCTTTCTGTTGTTGGTTAAATACAGTGAACTAAAAATCCAACTTTTTTTTTTTTTTTTTTGCAAATGACTAGCCAATGAATCTTTCACCTGTTCATTCATTCGCCCTTACTTCACTGTTTTGAAACCCCATTTTTTTGTATACACACCCTTTGGCGTGGCTGTTGCTTTTCTAGGCCCTGCATTCTTGTCCATGTTCTTGTCTTGCCTACTGCTGGTCCATAATCCAGATAGGCCAACCACAGGACACCACCCTCCTACCCTACACTGAAGATTTCACAGCTGCTCACTCTGCTTCTGCCACTATGTAAAACTCATTGTGAATTTCAGTGGTTCTAACATTTTGTCATCTTCCACATTGTTCGTTTATTAAAACCAGCAAAATGGTTTTGAGTTATGACCATGTTTATATATGTAGTTTTGTTCTTTTTAGCATCTTATGTGCTGTTCTATTAAAATAACTTCATTCTGTTGAAAGGCATCTTGTTTCTAATTTTTCATTGTTATGAACAATACTACTTTGGACACTTTGTGTTTATGCAGACTAGAGCTCCATCCTCAACCCACAGTAAGTAAAAAGATTTCTATAATACATAGTCACTATGTAGAAGGCATTGCACAACAATGAATAAAACAAGTTCTAATCTTCCCAAGATTAAATTCCAGTGAGACATGGGGCGCCTGGGTGGCTCAGTTGGTTGAGCGTCTGACTTCCCCTCAGGTCATGGTTAGTGTGTTTGAGCCCTGCATCGGGCCCTGTGCTGACCTCTCAGAGCCTGGAGCCTGCTTCTGATTCTGTGTCTTCCTCTCTCGGCCTCTCCTTGTGTCTGTGCTCTGTCTTTCCATCTCTCAAAGATAAAGATTGAAAAAATAAAATAATTCTTAAAAACAAATTAAATAAATAAATTCCAGTGAGACATAATCAAGGTTGTCAGAAGAGAGAAACCACAGCAGTGATTTCAACAGAAACAATGCAAGAAATTGTTAACTTGTACAGTTGTTATGTAGGGGTCTGAAAGTGTATACAGGGAATACTGAGATATGAAGATACAGGTATATATATCTCAGGGAATACTGAGATATGAGATGTAGCGGGAACCTGAAAGGGAAAGATAAAAGTCAAATGTATCACTAGGATAGAAACTGTAGGCAGCAGCTTCAAGCTCTAGGCTGATAAAATGAAGGGAACAGAGTAGGCATCCCTCAGAGCTGAAGTGCAGATCTCTGAAGAAACCTGTTCCACTGTTGGGGGTATCTGAGCCCAGAGGAGGGGCCTCGCGGGTCTGGGACCCATATTGGCTGCCTGACACTGATACTTCCGATGGGGAAACACTGTAAAAGTGAATTCGGCGGCTGCCCTCAGAAGACATTACACCTGACCGGGTGAAGAAGCATTGGTAAGGTGCTAACAGCACCAGACATAGAGGGGAAGCCCACAGGAAACAGATGGGAAGACGCATGTTCCTCTTCCCTCCACCCGTGCAGCCGCCCGCCAGCATATACTATTGGCAAAGCATGATGGCTGGCAAAACCTAAGTGTTGTTACAATGGAAGAAGTCGACTCACCCAACTTAGTCAAGCGATTCAAGTTAATATAAATAATACATTTAGTGTCCTTCAATAGTATTTAATTTGTGTACCAACTAATAGGATGCAGTTGAATGCAGCCAAAAACGCATAACCTGAGTCAAAGCAGAGGGGAACATCAAACCCATGTTGAGGCACACTCTCTAAAATAAATAACTTGAGGGGCGCCTGGTTGCTTAATTGATTAAATGTCTGACTTTGGTTCAGGTCATGATCTCACGGTTCGTGAGTTTCAGCCCCATGTTGGGCTCTGTGCTGACAGTTTAGAGCCTGGAGCCTGCTTCGGATTCTGTGTCTCCCTCTCTCTCTGCCCCTCCCCTGCTCACACTCTGTCTCTCTCAAACAGTAAAAAACTTTTTTTTTTTACTAAATGACTTGTGGTCTTCAGACATTTCATGATCATGCAAGTCAAGAAAACTGAGAAAGTGTTCCAGGTTGAAGGAGACTGAAGAAATACAAAATTACAATGCAGGATCCTGGATTAAATAATTTTTCTGTAAAGGAAATTATTTAGAAAATGGGTGTCACTTGAATGGAGTCTGAGGATAAGATGGTAAGTATTAGTGTTAGTTACCTGATTTTGATGATTGAAATGTGATTATGTAGTCTTGTTACTAAACTATGTGGAGGTGCTAGAATATGCTGACAACCTACTCTATATAATTTAGAGAATAAAAAGTTATTTGCACTATTCTTGCAAATGTTTTCTGAGTTTAAAATTATTTCCAAAGACTAATGTAGTTTGTACTTGATAAGTAATAATCACCTACTCTTTACTTCTTTAACTTAGTTAATAATGTTAAGCTTCAAGTTAAAACATAGACTTGGTTAAAAATTGAACTGCTTCTAAGAATCTTCTCTAGAGGAAGCCCATGTGTTCAGGGCAGAAGAGACAGGACTATGAGCTGATTCTATGTGCTTATAATTCATACATGGGTCATTGGGTCACATTCTTTGAAACAATAAAGGTAATTGGAGGGCATTGGCAGCTGTAACTGGTAACCATGTTTACTCAGTTGATAATCTCTCAGCTCAGGCTTTTATTCTTAGGCTGACACTAGCCGTTGTATGGGGAGGAAGAGGCATTGTGGATGTCCTGTGACAGGGAGGAAGGAGTGGCTGGGTTACCTTAGGTTAACTTACCCTCTCTGTGCCTTCTATATAATTATACTAAATGCATGTTGTTAAACATTTACTAAGTATCAGGCCCTGTGCTGTAAGTTTTCAAATTTAACTCTTAGTAAGCCAGGGGAGTGTGAGTGAATGGCTATAGTAATTATGATAAGAACGTGGATTAGGCAGGAAACAACATTCTTTCAATGTCATGTGGAATGTAGGAGCTAAGGGTAGAAACCTTGTAGCATCCCTATTGTGACCCGAAAACTGTAGACCCTGTAGACCATGTTGTCTAATTGTACATCTTAGTTAATTCAGACTGTTAACAAAGTCCACAGACTAGGTGGCTTATAAACAGCAGATACTTATTTCTCACGCTTCTGGAAGCCAGAAATCTAAGATCATGGCACTGGCAGATTTTTGTGTCTGGTAAGGGCCTGCTTCCTGGTTCATAGAATTCCCGTTTTCTCCCTGTGTCCTCACATGGCAGACGTGGTGAGGGATCTTTCTGGAGTGTCTTTTCTAAGGCCGCTAATCCCATTCATGAGGGCTCTGCTCCAATGACCTAATCATCTCCCAAAGGCCCCAGTTCCAAATAAGGCATTAGGATTAGTTCCCCACATATGATTTTTTTGGAGAGAAGGTGATATGGGGCATAAACATTCAATCTATAATGTTATTTCATTTTTATTAATTTATTTTACAAATAATACTGGAATATATGTATATATTTTAAAATTACAACTATTCCTTTTTTATTTCCTCCCCTTCCCAGCACAGGGACAGCAGTCCCAGTGCAGTGAGGGGAAGTGAAGAGGAACAGAACAGTGTGGCTGCTCCCATTATGGAGACACAGGACACTGGGGCGATGGGGGTTAAGGAGATTATAGATAGAGAAGATGGTTGGCATGGGTGGAGATTGAATACATTGAAGGAAAGATGAAATGTATTGAAACTGACAGCCAAATTTCTCCCTGTTGAAAGTATTTACAAATATAGAAAGGCAGAAGACTAAACAGAACCCTGAGGTGTTGAATCAGAATTGGAGGTATTGGTAGGAGTTGATCATTTTAAAAATATACATACATTGATAGACATAGAAATATTTATAAGTGCATATGTCTACATATGTGTGTAGACACATGCACGTGTATATGCAAATGTACACGTGTATGTGTGTGTCCTCCATACATGTATTTCCTAGCTCTTTGTGCTGAGATTGCTTAAAAGCAAGTACAATGTTTGCCCACTTTTTGGGAGATGAATAACAAATTCTGATCAGAAATATAAAACATGCTCATTTTTGGACTTTTCTCACCACTCTTTAGCTCTGGAGAGGGAACTCAGGTAAGAGAGTGTTATCTTCCAGGTCAAATTCTTGTTCATTGGACTGGGATTTAGGTCCGTGAGAATGATTCACTTGCATAGAAACTTTATCCAGGGTGCCAAAATCTGACTCTCTAAGGATGCTCAGCTCCCTAGAAACTCAGATTGTATTTTGTATAAACTCAAATGCCACTGGGGACACAGCATGGTAGGACAGTGCAGGTATGTCCCAAAAACTTCAGTTATGCTGGGTTCTAAGGGCTCTACAGAGACAGCCAGAGATTACAGAAAGATAATGCCCATTTAGCAAATTCTGGTCCCATATCCATCCCAGCACATCCTGGGGACCTTGGGAATGCTAAGTGAACTGAGAGCTCACACAATGGACCTGTATTCTATAATACATGGGGATTATATACATACATATATACATATATACATACGTGTGTGTGTGTGTGTGTGTGTGTGTATATATATATATATTTTTTTTTTTTAAGCTGTGTTTCTGAATATGGGGCACTGTTGCCTTTAATCCTTCTGGTCGGTTCGTTCCTAGGCCTTGGGCAGTTCCCTCAAACACATGCTTATCATCTCTCCAGCTTCCTGTCTGGGCTGCTCTGCCATTTGCAGTACTTAGCCCTGAAAACTTTAGCTGTTTTCATGAATGCTGTGTAATGGTGCCCCTTTACCTGGAAGAAGGCAACTTCACCTGTTTCAAGAACTTACAAATCAAGTATAAACTCATTTTCTATGCCTTGGAATCTTTGCGGATGATCTAATGAATCATTGTAGTTTCAAACCTTTAATACCATTTTAATAGAAAAAAACCTCTAGAGTAGAATTTTGATGTGAACATGACATGTAGAATGTGAATCCCCCACCATTCTGCAAATAATAATGTAGAGGAAGATACTTTGCATAATATACATGAAATGTTGAGAAAATGAAAAAAATATTAAAATACAAGTGCCTTTTTAATGCTTCTAGATTAATGTTTTTGAAAAATGCATCCATCCTTCTTTGCAGTTATCCTGTTGTGGCAGAATAGTGGCCCCCAAACAGGTGCACATCCTAACCCTTAGAATCTGAGAATATTACCTTACCTGGCAAAGGAGACTTGGCATATGTGTTTTGGTGAAGGATCTTGAGATGAGGAGACTGTCTTGAATTATCCAAGTGGGTTCTATTTTAATCACAAGAATTCTTAAAAGGAAACGGGGGCAGGAGAAAAAATCTAATAACATAGGCAGAGGTTGCAGTGATGCAGGATGACAAAGTAAGGACAGCATTTAGAAACAGTAAAGGCAAAGAAGTGGATTCTCCCTCTCATAGAACATCCACAAGGAATGCAGGCCTAAGACCTTGATTCTAGCCATGTAACACCATTTTGGACTTCTGAATTCTGATAACGTAACATATTCAGTTTGTGTGTTTAACATATGCAGTAATTTGCTGCAGCAGCAGCAGGAAATTAAAACACCTCTAAAGAGCTAATTTTGAATTATGAGGAGTATGAATTTTTCACTTCTTTAGGATAAAATGGGTACATTTTTATTGAGATATAACTGACATGTTAACATTGTGTAAGTTTAAGGTGTACAGCATGTTGATTTGATACATTTATATATTGCAATGTGATTACCACCTTGGGTTTAGTTAACACTTCTATCACATCACATCATCATCATTACTTTTTTTGTAATGGAAACTATTGAGACACAGTCTCAGGACCTTCAAAGTTTATGACAGGATTATTGTCCATAATCACCACACTGTGCATTAGATCTCCAGAGTTACACATCTACTAGCTGCTAAGTTAGTACCCTTAACATCTCTCCTGCTCCCTGAACCTCCAGCCCTCGGTGACCATCATTACACGATCTGTTTTTGTGAGATAATCTTTGTTAGATTCCATATATAACTGATACCATACAGTATTTGTCTTTCCCTTTCTGGCTTATTTCACTCTCATAATACCTTCAACATCCCTTCATAGAGTTTCAAATAGACAAGATTTTCTTCTTTCTCATGGCTGAGTAGTACTGTGTTTTTTATATCTGCCACACACCTTCTTTACCCATTCATCTATTGACACCTTGTTTACATATCTTGGCTATTGTGAATAATAATGCAGTAACATGGGAGTGCATATATCTCTTCAGTGTCCTGTTTTCATTTTTTAAAAAATTTTAACGTTTATTTTTGAGAGAGAGCAAGAGCGTGTGTACACGAGTGAGGGAGGGAGAGAGAGGGAGACAGAATCTGAAGCAGGCTTCAGGCTTTGAGCTGTTAGCACAGAGCGTGACATGGAGCTTGAACACACAATCGTGAGATCATGATTTGAGCAGAAGCCCGGTGCTCAATCCCCTGAGCCACCTAGGCACCCCCGGAGAATGCTTTTGTAAAATACCTATTAAAGTATACAAAAACAAAAGAGAAAAAAGTCTGTACAAATATTTGTTGAGATTCTTAGTGGAATGTTGCCACAGAATATTGGATCTTTCAGTGAAAGGAACGGTTTCCATTTCTTCAAGTAATATTAATGTCACAGAGGAAGGAATATGTTTGTGTAGACAAATAGAGAAGTTTTATTTTTTTCTTTTGAGAAATTTTCTTTTGGACTGTCGATTTTCTGATTTATCTATTTACTTTTATTGCTTTCATGATTTTGAAGAACTAGCTTGCTTGGTCCCGCCTCTGTCCCCTGGGTTTTTATTTCCTGAGAGAATCGCTGATTGTGTCAGATACTATTTTTATAAATATTCTTTTATTGTATTGATGGAATCTATTAAATAGTATTTTAAAAAGCGAAATCGACAAGCAGGTTCTTTTCCCTGACAGCTCTGTGTCTAAATTGCACATTGGCGGCACATAGAACTCAGCTGTAATCCGCAACGGGCTCTGACTGCTTGGGTAAATAGGTCAAGTGCCCCAAACTTCCCACGTGCTGGGAAAAGACTGCATTCTCAGCCAACCTCCAACCGCTGGTCAGGGAATCTGCAGGGAAAGATACTTTCCGACTTGCTGCGCTGACAGTTCCCACTGTCTGGTTCTGCGCATGTCCGGTTCTGCGCATGCCCGGCTCCGCACATGCCTGGTTCCGCGCATGCCTAGTACCGCCTTCTGCCTCGGTGCACACCATCCCAGTTTTGTTTTGTTTTTGTTTTTGTTTTTTTGCCTTCCGTTCTCCTCACTACCCGCTTCGGGGAGTTTCCCGAGCCAACGGGTCTCTAACCTGTTGTGGGGTCAGTGCTGCCTGAACGAGGGAGCGATAGGTGAGCTCGGGACGGTCGGACGAGGGCCGACGGGGGCGCCGTGCGGCGGGCGGGCGGTGCCCGCGCGTGAGGAGGAGGTCCGCGCACCGTCGGACGGCGGGATGGGGACGTCTCCGTCGGCGCTAGAGGTCGGGCAGCCCGCGTGCTCAGTCCCTGCGCGGAGCGGGCGCTGCCGTACGGCGTCCCGTTCCGGAGGCCGCAGGAGGAGGGCGTGTGCGCGTGCACGGCGTGTGCCCGGAGCCGGTGGCCGCGGGAGGACGTGCGCGCGAGCGCGGCGGGGCGGCCGGGGCGGCGGGGCGGACCGCACGCCTGCCCGCGCCGCCTCAGTTCCCGCGCGGCTCCCGTTTCTGCCCTTGTCCTTGCCGGGGTCTGAGCTGCTCTCCACTCGTGCCCTTCGCCGCCTCTTGAGGCCGTTGTTATTACTCAGTCCGGCATTCAGGAAGGATCCTCGAGAGTCCCTTGTCTTTGTCTCATGAATAGAAATAGTTCTTGTTTGTGTCTTTCCTCTTGAAGGTTAGTGACTTACTTAGACTCACAGTTTGTTAGTGGCGAAGACTGGGAGTTGTGTGTCCGGCTGTTAGGAGAGAACTGCCTGCAGCTCCACGTGAGGTGAGGCGCACATTACTTTATAAACCGATCCTTTTGAGAAACGGCAACCGGGATGAGAAATTAAAACGTAGACCTCTCCTTAAAGCTCTGCTCTTTATCGTTTTCTGTGGAATCACTAACCAAAGGATTAGTAACAGGAAGACCTATAAACAGATTAGTCGAGTATTTTTTTTTTAAGTTTGTTTATTATCGAGAGAGAGGGAGAGAGAATCCCACGCAGGTTCCACACTGTCAACGCAGAGCCTGATGTGGGGCTTGATCCCACGAACTCTGAGATGTGACCTGAAGCAAGACTGAGCCGCCCAGGTGTCCCAGGTCCGGCATATTTTTTACAGCAGTTTTGGTGAAGAGCTAATGTTACTTCACTGAGTGTATTGTTTTATGTAAACCATCGTTTTTAGTTTAAAAATGTTTTGTGAGCCTCAAGAGAGGCTTAAACTGTGAAAAAACCCCAGGAAACAAATATTGACAGTTACCCAGTGGAAACGTTCCAGCCAAGCAGCTACTACCTGGTTGGGTTAGAGTCCTGCAGATGGTGCTGTCTGTTCGTGTGCTGTCCTTTGGGAAGGTCAGAGGCACTGACATTCTTCCTGTCTTATTGGGCATGTGTAGTTTTATAGGGCTGGAGAATTCGGGAGCCTCCAGGCTGGCCAGCTCTTTTAGGACGTCGTTCCTCTTGTGACCCAGCACATCACCAGACTTGTCTACACTTTTCCAAGACAGCAGAAAATGAGCAAATCCCAGGTAAGTTGTTCGTTCCCCACTTTATTTTGCAGTGGACTTGGTGAGATTTGTAGGAGTCCCGTAGTAATGGGAAATTGACAATAGGTAGAAATGCACCTTTACAGAAAACAGAAAGTGACAGATCAAGAGCAAGGCTAAGGCCGCTTGTGGATACATACTGATCATTCCCTATCTTAGAGTTTCTAAGCTGACCCACAGGTAACATCCTATTGTTTCTGATAACTGTGGAGAAAGGAAGACACAGTCTTTTGGGTACAGACAGCTTTTTCTCAAGACACAAAGTCTTGGATGGTCTCTTTTTGGATCTTAACGTAGGGACATGTAGTGAATAACCTTCCTGTGGCAGCCCTGAACTGAGTACCTAAAACTGTTCCTCACTAAGAATAAAAGGGTCCGAGAGAGTTCAAATAGTTAATTTAATGATGGTCTTGTTCCATCCTGGTATAAAACCTGATACCTTTAGAGGAACGATGGCCTACATGCTTGTTAACAAAAACTCACCATAACTACTTTAGCCAGGTTGTGTATAGAAGTTGTACAGCAAATGGATCATTGTTAAATTCTCTGGTAAATGTGTCTGAGTTTCTCCGTCAAAGTTATCCCATAGATTTCTGGCTTGGTTTTGAGTACTTCTAAAAACGTAAATTTTCTTACTGTATGTGACAGGCATTTTCTGCCCTCAGTTCACTAGTAATTTGAGATATCTCCATATGTAGTTTATTTTTTAAAATAAATAACTTTTTAAATGTTTTTTATTTATTTTTGAGAGAGAGATAGAGACTGCATGAGCAGGGGAGGGTCAGAAAGAGAGAGAGAGAGACACAGAATTAGAAGTAGGCTTCAGACTCTGAGCCATCAGCACAGAGCCCGATGCGGGGCTTGAACCCACAAACTGAGATCACGACCTGAGCCGAAGTTGGATGCTTAACCAACTGAGCCACCCAGGCTCCCCTAAAATAAATATTTTTTAAAATTTTATTAGAGTGGGGAGAGGGGCAAAAGGAGAGAGAGAAAGAGAATATTTTGAGATTGAGAATATCTTAATCAGGCTACACACTCAGTGTGGATCCTAACCTGGACCTCAGTCTCACAACTGTGATATGACCTAAGCCAAAATCAGGTGTCAAATACTTTACCACCTAGGCACCCCTGTAGTTTGTTTCTTTTAATGTTTGATTTTCCTGATGTATGGCCACACTGTATCCTAAATACTATATTTTATTGTTAGACATCTAGATAATTTCCATTTTTCATTCATATAAATGTTGCTGTGAATATCCTTGACGTTCTCTGATAAATGCAGATGTATCTCCAGACCCTGGAGCATTGGTTCTCAAAGTGAGGATCTTTGGACAGAAATGGCAGCATCACCTCAAAACTTGTTTGAAATGCAGATTGTGATCCACCATCCCAAACCTGCTGGAAGAGAACATTTGGAGGTAAGGCTCAGCAAATCTGTGTTTTTAAGAGGATGTCCATGTGATGGTTATAACACATTAAGTTTAAGAATCACTGCTTCAGTGTCCAGTGATTAATATTTTTGAGTTACAATATATGAAGATATCTCATTTTTCTAGGTAAATTGTTACTCATTAGAAGACTAATTTTCCTACTTCCTCTTCAGATATAAAAATTATTTCTACATTAAAGGGTGAAAAACTTTACTGTTTAGTTTCCGTGGTCTGATTAGTGAGTTTGTGCAACTTTGATAAATTTATTGCTTTTTAGGTTGTTTCATTTTGAGTTTTGTAAGAATTTCCATGTATTTTACATTATTTATTTTTAAAAGCTTATTTTTTTTTTTTATTTTGAGAGAGACATAGCATTTGTGGGGGAGGGACAGAGAGAGAGGGAGACACAGAATCTGAAGCCGACTCCGGCTCTGAGCTATCAGCACAGAGCCCGACGCAGGACTTAAACCCACAAACTGAGATCGTGACCTGAGCTCAACCAAGTGAGCCACCCAGGCACTCCACCAGGCAGAATTCTAATGCATGGAAAGCTTTAAAATTCTGTCTCAGCAGAGATTTAACATGCCAGTATGATATTCCAGGTACTTTTCAAAAGTTGTTAAATTTTCCCAAATCCTGGAATCTTCACAATTAAATGGCAATTTCAAACAGTATACTTTAGGAAATCTCTTTCATTTACAAATCCTGCACCTCTTTCTTTTGAACAGAAGTCACATAGCTTTCAGGAGTAGATTCCTTAATGCCCCTTACCCATTTACCCTATCCCCTCTCCCACAAGCCCTCCAGCAACCCTCTGTTTGTTCTCTATATTTAGGAGTCTATGTTTTGTCCCCCTCCCTGTTTCTATATTATTTTTGCTTCCTTTCCCTTATGTTTCTGTGTTTAGTATCTTAAATTCCTCATATGAATGAAGTCATATGATATTTATCTGACTAATTTCACTTAGCGTATACCCTCCATTTCCATCCACGTAGGTGCAGGTGGCAAGATTTCATTCTTTTTGATTACTGAATAATAGTCCATTGTGTACGTGTGTGTGTGTGTGTGTATGTATATGTTGTGTATATATACACACAATGTGTGTATACATGTATATATATACACACACGTATATATGCATATATACACACACATACACCACATCTTCTTTATCCATGTATCCATCCATGGACATTTGGGCTATTTCCATACTTCAGCTATTGTCAGTAGTGCTCCTATAAGCATTGGGGTGCATGTGCCCCTTCAAAACAGCACACCTGTATCACTTGGATAAATACCTAGTAGTGCAATTACTGGGTCATAGGATAGTTCTATTTTTAATTTTTTGAGGAACCTCCATACTGTTTTCCACAGTGGCTGTACCAGTTTGCATTCCCACCAGCAGTGCAAAAGAGTTCCTCATTCTATGCATCCTCCCCAACATCTGTTTGTTGCCTGAGTTGTTAATGTTAGCCATTCTGACAGTTGTGAAGTGGTGTCTCATTATGGTTTTGATTTGCATTTCCCTGATGATGAGTGATGTTAAGCATTTTTTCTTTTTTTTTTTTTTTTGTAATGTTTTATTTATTTCTGAGAGAGAGAGAGAGACCGCGTGAGCAGGGGAGGGTCAGAGAGAGAGGGAGATACAGAATCTGAAATGGGCTACAGGCTCTGGGCTGGCTATCAGCACAGAGCCCGACGTGGGGCTCGAACCCACAAACCGTGAGATCATGACCTGAGCCGAAGTCAGACACTTAACCGACTGAGCCACCCAGGCGCCCCTGTTAAGCATTTTTTCATGTGTAGTTGGATGTCTTCTTGGAACTAGATGTCTTCTTTGGAGAAGTATCTATTCATGTCTTTTGCCCATTTCTTCACTGGATTATTCATTTTTTGGGTGTTGAGTTTGATAATTTCTTTACACTAAACCTTTATCTGATATGTCATTTGCAGATATCTTCTCCCATTCCATTGGTTGCCTTTTAGTTTTGCTGATTGTTTCCTTCGCTGTGCAGAAGGTTTTTATCTTGATGAGGTGCCAGTAATTCATTTTTGCTTTTGTTTCCCTTGCCTCCAGAGACATGCTGACTAAGAAGTTGCTATAGCTGAGGTTGAAAAGGTTTTTGCCTGCTTTCTCCTTGCAGATTTTGATGGCTTCCTGTCTTACATTTAGGTCTTTCATCCATTTTGAGTTGATTTTTAGGTATTATAGATATATTTTCAATTGTTCTTTTTAATTGCTTGTTACTGGCATGTTATTTTTTATATAATGGCCTTAAATCCAACAATTTTTCTACATTAATTTATTACATCTAATAATTTATCTTTATTTGAATTTTTTTATATATCCACATGTATAATCTGGGTTTAGTGACACTGTTGCTTACTTTTTTAAATTCATGAAACCTTTTTTTCTTTATTGCCCTCTTAGGTCCTCCGATATATAATACTCAATAGAAGAAAAGAGTATATTTCCTTGCCTTTATTCTCTTCTCAAAGGGGAAGTTTTCCTCTCAATATGTGATTTTTACTGTGGGTTTTTTTTTTTTTTTCATTTTTTTACCACATCAAGGATGTCCAATTCTATTCCTAGTTATCTAAGCTTTTTCTTTGTTTCATGATTGCTGGTATATCAGGAATTATTTGGAGTCAAATATATCTCTTGAACGGGGAATTCTAATCATGTGCCTGGGTACTATGTTAACTAAGTTTTCTGGATTAGCTGATGCAGTCCTACAACCCCTTTATGTCGTCGGTACTGATATTACACAAGCCAAAAAAGATTTACATTCAGGATCTATATAGAATAGTTTGTTTGAGGAATATGCAGTTTGAGAAGGGGACAGATTTGAGATCTCTTGAGTCCAGGTGCCTCTTCTGGCAGTTTGCTACTTGACATCAGTGAGAACTGATTGCTAGAAATGGTACTGGAAGTCTTCTCAGTGGTTCATTAGGTGCCTACTGGTTTTGGAAATGACTCAGGAAGATCTTTGTGTGCTGCTGATTTTATCATCTTGCTCCAGCTCACTTCTTCTTAAACTTCTCTTAGGTCTCAGTGTACTCTCCCACTTCAGATATGTAAGGAGCCTCAGCCTTTATACTCACAATATGTCACTGCATCAACAGATAGAAACATTTTATTTACATGTTATTTGTTGGTAACTTAAAACGTCACAGCGTCAGACTTGTTTCCTTCAGAAGCTGTACTTGTCCTGTTTCAGAGGCCTACAGCCGCTGGCTGTGGATTTACTGCCCACTAGTTAGTGCTGCTTTCATACGTTCATTCCCTGTTTCTTCTTCCTCCTTATTTGGATTCTGGCTGGCTTTGTTGTTGACTCTCTGCTGTATGACAGAGACAGGAAAGTGTGTAAGATGTAGTCATCAAAACTATACATTCCTTAAAAAAAAAAAAAAAAGCATATGCATACATTCTAGTAACCACTGACCAAATAAAAGTATTTGATGTTTTTCCACTGCCTCTCAAGGGTCCCTTATGACCTCTCCAACCTTTATCAACATTCTCCCTTCCTCTAAGGTAGGTGCTGTTCTATGATTATTGGTTAATGTTGGCTGTTACTGAAAATCAGAGGTAGAGAATTCGTGCATATGTTGTTACAGCAGGCTTCTTTCATTCTGTATAGGCATACTTCGGAGATAGTGTGAGTTTGGTTCCAGATCACTGCAATAAAGCAAGTTAAATGAATTGTTTGGTTTCCCACTGCATATAAAAGTTATGTTTTTACTATACTTTAGGGGCACTTGGGTGGCTCAGTAGGTTAAGTGTCCGACTCTTGTTTTCCGCTCAGGTCACGATCTCACAGCTGTGAGTTCCAGCCCTGTGTCAGGCTCTGTGCTGGGTGTGGTGCCGCTTAAGATTCTCTCTCTCCCTCTGCCCCTACCCTGTGCACACACGGGTGCTCAGTCTCTCTCTCAAAAAAAAAAAAAGTAGTATACTATAGTCTATTAAGTGTATAATAGTATTATATATAAAAATAAAAAACACCTACATATTTTAATTAAAAGATACCTTATTGGTATAACATGCTAACCATCCTCTGAGCTTTTGGTGCGCTGTCATCATTGATCGCAGATTACCACAGCAAATATAATGAGAAAGTTAGAAATATTGTAAGAATTACCAAAATATGATGCAGAAACCAAAGTGAGCAAACGCTGTTGGAAGAATAGCACTGATAGACTTGCCTCATGCAAGGTTGCCATAGATCTTCAGTTGTAAAAACTGCAGTGTCTGGAAAATACGACAAAGCGACAAAAGGAAGTATGTTCGTGTGTGTTAGGTTTGTCAGTGCTGCTGCACCTCCCGGGGGGTTCACACTTTGTATTGCTGCAGAGGGTTCCACTGTGTTAAAGTATTCTACTTACCTGTTCTTCTCTTTATATCTACTAGCTCTTTAGTTACACCAGTTTGTATCTTTTTATTCTGTATATTACAATATGCATCTGTGATCTTGTGGTAAATAGTAAGAAGTAGATTTTGGTCTTCATCCAAGATTCCTGGCACATAGCTCCTAAAGCTCTTATAATACCCAAACTGTGAAGAGTGATAAGTGATAAGATGGATTTTACTTTTTTGTGTGTCATAGATTCCAAAAGACATGACTTGTTGCTTTAAATTCCAGTTTCCATTTTCTTTTCTTTAACCTGCAGTTTTGTGTTGCCATCAGGTATCATTTTCCACAAATACAGTATTTCTCATTTGTGTGTGCTGTTAATGTTTTCAGTCTTTATGTGGCAAATATATTCATTTAGAAGGATTTTTTGTTGGGTTTAGATTTTCTGATGTTTTTCTTAGCTCTTTAAATTGGCATTCCATTTTGAGTTTCTCATCTGTCAATTACCTGTTCAGATGTGTTGCTCACTGTCCTCTGCCCTTCTGTAGTTTCTGTTGACCTCTTTGTGGTCAGTTGTTACTGAAATGTTCTGCCTTTTTTTCCTCACTAATTTATAAAATGATATTTTTATAATATTGTGCCTTCCTATACAGAAATTTGTTTATCCTTCCATCTTATTTGGGTCATTTTCATTTTCCTTTATCACATTATTATTTCCTTATAGAGATTTGTGTATTTTTCATGCTATTGTTAATTGTACCTTTAAAAACATATAGTTTTCTGATATTTTAATTGAACTTCTATCCAGTTTCAGAAACTTTAATTTAGGATATTAATATTTGTATTTTCTCTGTACATGATTGTTTTGCTGTATTCTAAGAGCTTTAGAAAAAAGTTGAATAAAATTGGAGATAGCACGCATCCTTCTCTCAAAGCTACTTTTCAGTTGTGTTACCTGTGTAACCATTAAGTGGATATTTGTGTGGTATGTAAAAGTCTAGTATCATGTTGAGGAAATTCCTTTCTAGTTTGCTAAGAGTTTTTGTTAATCATGCTTTTGTTTATCTAATCTGATCATATCATCATCTTTTTGTTTTTAAAACCATTCATTCTTATTTTTTTTCCACTTCAGGAAATTCCCTAATAGCCTCTTCTTTCTCTGTAAGCCAGTTAAAAACTGATTTTTCCTCATCTTGCATTCTTGATTATTTTCAGTCTCTTCTCTGAGAGCTTCTGATTTATTCTTGGTGACTTAGTATTCACCAAATCCTTATTTTAAATCTGGACCTGCAGTTCTATGTTTCACAGTTAAGATACAGCTTGTGAAAATACAGTATCTAATTTATTTTCTCCTTATTTTCCTTGCTTATTTTGTGACACTCGTGTTCTACAGCTGCACATACCCTGAGGAAACTTCCCCTTTCTGCCGGTGAATTGGTGACTGTGTTCAGTTGTGTCTGTCTCCTTTTATCAGTGCCCTATTTGCTTCACTGTTTTTGCTGTAGTAGTTTATGAAAGTGGTGTTTTTTCCTTTAACTTTCCCTTCCGTTTTTTGAGAGAATTGGTTCTATAAATAAAAACCTGGCCACCTCATTATACTATATATTCACATCTGTTCTTTGGCTCCCCTTTCTTCAAAACAGCCCTGAAGTACAGTCATGCAATCTAAATGATATCCACAATATTCCAATTAGACATCTTCTGTCTTCTACAGAAATTTGTAGTATAACAGTTCCAAAATCTTTTCCTTCTAATTTTGTACACATCCCAGATACTGTCTTTGAATTGAAGAGTTAGAACCTAGAAATTGTATTGCGGTGAAATAAAGTATTAAGCTGTCATTTACTTTTAAAATGGAGAGAGAATAAGGGCTGCCTAGGTGGCTGGGTTTGTTAAGCACCCAGCTTTGGCTCAGATTGCAATCTTGTGGTTTGTGAGTTTGAACGCTGCGTTGGGCTCTGTGCTGAGAGCTCAGAGCCTGGAGCCTGCTTCTGATTCTGTGTCTCCCTCTCTATGTTCCTCCCCTCGCTCACATTCTTTCTCTCAAAAATAAATAAGCCTAAAAAAATAAAAAATAAAATGGAGAATAAAATTAAAATTTGCAACAAAATGTATTGATAGCATATTTCTGTAATACATGAATACAAACTTCTATAGCGCTCAAAAATATTCTTTAAGGTAGAAAGTGATCACACACTGTGGAGACTTCATCTAAAATCACTCTATGATCTATTCCATGAATTCCATTATGGCCCTTTCTGTCATCGCAGATCTAGGCTGAATTCTCAACTTTTCCTCTGTTGTTTGCCCTCTTCTCATTTCCCGAATATGTTAGAGGAGCCTCATCTTTGCTTGCACCTTGTACTACGGCCCCCTGTTCGTGAGAGCACCAGGTTACTGTTATCCATCAGTCATTCTTCAGTGAGGCTCAAAAGAGAACTTATTTTGCTCATTTATTTTAGTCTGTCTTGTGCATACTTCACTTTAGCAATTGTATCTTGTTACTGCATGTTTTCTTATCAGGTTGTCTGCTACTAGAATACAAGAATATTTTCATTAGGCTTAGCATTTCTCAGAATCGGAATAGTTCCAGATACATTGTGGGATTTGATCATTTTTTACATTAATAATACCTTGAAGCAATGGCATGATATTTCTGTTGGATTTCTTGTCTTCCCTCAAAGCCGAAAGCCAGACAAACCCTCTGCAAACTATTTTGGTAATCATGAGAAGGATTGGTTCCCATACAGCTTTTTCCATGTCACCCAATTCTGAACATTTCAGATTAAACAGACATCGCAGGGATCAGTATCATTTAAGGATGTGACCGTGGGCTTCACCCAGGAGGAGTGGCAGTGCCTGGACTCAAGTCAGAGGTCCCTGTACAGGGACGTGATGCTGGAGAACTACAGCCACCTTGTCTCCGTGGGTAAGGGCTGTTTTTATGTAATTTCAAGTAGTGTGTTGTAGTTGTGTTAATTATGAGGCATATAGGCTCTGTGTCACGTTGAATGATATTTAAGATTGGTTTCAGGAATCAGTGGTGATTGATCACTTTTAGGCCCCAGGAAGATATTTGTGTTCACCTCTCCGGGGGAATGTTCAGTGGCATGTTGACGGAGCAGCTCCAGCTGCTTCCTCTTCTTTCAGAGGCCCTGAGTCTAGGCCACCTGGTCTGAATCCTAAATTATTCACTTTGACAGGGTATTGTGCTGCCAAACCGGGGGTGATCTTCAGGCTGGAGCAAGGAGAGGAGCCATGGGTATTGGAGGAAGAATTTCCAAGCAGGAGCTTCCCAGGTGAGTTGAAATTTACCGCACAAATGAACATCAGGACGTTTTTTTATCTTCCCACGATTAACCCAGGGATTGACAACTTTGGAATGATTTTTCAAGAATATCTCTTTAGAAGTCCTAATCCTTGGAAGTGACTGAGAATCCTGGTTTTGAACCGAACCTCCAGATTCTGCTGTCAGCAAAAATGTTCTCCTTTTTGATTTACGTTTTTTAATATTCACCTTTCTTACATTTGTCAACAGACCAATCTTTGCCTTATTTCTCTTTGCTGTAATCTGTGTTTCTCAAAGCATTTTCAGCTGCCAGCCACACCTCCTTTGCTCTTCATTCCAGCTGTTACCTGGGATTCTTTCATACACTCATTTTTTGACTCAAATAATTTTTGAGTGCTTGCTGTGGTTTTTTTTTTAATTTTTTAATGTTTTTTATTTATTTCTGAGAGAGAGAGAGTGTAAGCAGGGAGGGTCAGAGAGAGGGAGACACAGAATCCAAAGCAAGCCCCAGGCTCTGTGCTAGCTGTCAGCACAGAGCCCGACGTGGGGCTTGAACCCACGAACCGTGAGATCATGACCTGAGCCAAAGTCAGATGCTTAACCCAGGCGCCCTGAGGGCTTGCTGTTGTTTAGATGACACAGTAGTGAGGGGTGTCTGGCTGGCTCAGTTAGTTAAGCATCCGACTTTAGCTCAGGTCATGTGACCTTGCTATCTTTTAGTTCAAGTCCTATGTTGGGCTCTGTGCTGACAGCTCAGTGCCTGGAGCCTGCTTCGGATTCTATGTCTCCCTCTCTCTCTGCCCCTTCCCTACTCATGCTCTCTCTCTGTCTCTAAAAAATGAATAAACGTTAAAAAAACTTTTTTAATTAAAAAAAATGCCATAATAGTGAAAGAAATAATGTGTAGTGACTTTATATAAGTAGCACTGGTGGCCAAGAGATATGTGAAAACATGGTCAATGTCACTAATATCAGGGAGATGCAAATCAGGTCCACACATCACACCATGTAGAATGGCTAGCACCAAGAACCCAAGAGATAACAAGTGTTGGCAAGGATGTGGAGAAAAGGGATCTCTTGTGCACTGTCAGTGGTGGTGATGTAAATTGATTCAGCTACTCTGGAAAAGGGTGTGGAGATTCCTCAAAAAGCTATAGAATTGTCCTATGATCCGGCAGTTCCAGTTGGGAACATACCCCAAAGAAAATGGAAATGGGACATCGAAGAGAATATACACATTCATGTTTGTCACGGTATTATTCACAATGGCCAGATCTGGAAACGACCTAAGTGCTCGTCAGTGCATAAATAGATAAAGAAAGAAAATAGTATTATTTATTCAGTCATGAGAAAGGACATCCTGCCACTTTCAGTTAAAGACAATACCATATGGTGTCACTTGTATCTGGAATCTGGAAAAGCCAAACTAGTTATAACAGAGGCTCACGTGGCGGTTTCCAGGGGATGAGGGTGTGGGAAAGGAGAGATGGTCCAAAATCGGAACTAGTACTAAATAAGCCCTAGAGATGAAAGATAGCATATAAAGAATGCAGACAATATCGTATTGTAATAATCGCACTTGCTGAGACACCAGAACTGAATCATTCCAGTCACTAATAAGACATGGGAGTTGTGTAACATAATAAAGATGCTCATTATTGCTACAGTAGCAGTCATAATATAGTATATAAAGGAATCCCGTTAACATGTACACCTTAAATTTATACCGTTATATGTCAATTACAAATTTAAAAAGTAACGCTAAAAACAGATACTTCGTGTATTAAAGCTGTATAAGCTTTAATATATAATTTGTAAATAAGGCTCATATAATTATGTGGGAGGTATTCTCTTCTAATTTTGCAGGAGTATTTGAGTAATTAATAGTAATTATTATTTAAATGAGTTTAAAAATACAGCTGTGAAACCACCTGGACCTGGGCTTTATGGGAAGTTTTAAAATGACTACATTGTGTTTACTTCTTATACTTTTTTTCAGATAGCTTATTTCTGCTTGAGATAGTTATATTTTTTCATATTCTAAGAATTTTATTTTTAGCAAAGTTATCATATTACTTGGTATAGAGTTCAAAACATTCACTTACAATTTTGTTTTTGTAATGTAGAAAACATGCCAGGTTTGTAATGTTAGTACTTCCTGTCCCTAGTGTGTGTACTATTTTTGTTCCACAACTTCAGTAATTTGTTTTTTTAGAAACGTTTATTTATTTATTTTTATGAGAGTGAACAGGGGAGGGGCAGAGAATGAGACAGAGACCGAGAATCTCAAGCAGCTCCATGCTGCCAGCGCAGAGCCCAACACATGGCTCCATCCCATGAGTCATGAGATCATGACCTGAGCCAAAATCAGGAGTCAAATGTTCAACCAACTGAGCCACCCAGATGCCCCATAACATCAGTAATTTGACTGTTATGTCTCTTATTTTCATGTCAATCTAAATACAGTTCAGTCCGGTTTATTGATAGTTTATTAATTTTTACTCTTCTCTCATTTCCCATCTTTGCTTACTTAGGATTTGTATTCCTTTTTTTTTCCCCCATTTTTCTCAGGTATACATGGCAGGCTATTGATTTGGGATCATTCTTTTTAAATATGATTAGTGCAGGATAAATTGTCATCTAAGTTCTATTTTCTGTGTGTCTGATATGTTTTGGTATATTTGGTTTTCATTTTTACTGAAAGTGTTTTCTTAGTTTCCTGGATATTTTTTCCCTTGATTTCATTCAGAGATGTGTTAATATTTAATCTTCTGTTTGTGAATTTTCAAAATTCCTTTAAATGATTGATTTATAATTTCCTTCCATTTTGGTGGGAGAAACTTAAAATCTCTTCTGGGGATCCTTTCACGTGTACTTCTGGAGAATGTGTTTTCCTCTCTTTTCGAGTGGATTATCTTATATATATTTGTTAGTCTGGTTACTTGATAGTGTTATTTTTATCTTTTTTTTCCCCTTATTTGTATTCTCTCAATTGTTTTATCCATTACTTAAAGTGGGACATTAAAGTCTCTAATTATTGTTGATGTGTGTGTAGTTTTGCTTTGAATTCTGTCAGTATTTGCTTGAGACTCATCATAGCGTATAATTCCTTATGTGTCCTTAATGATGGATTGTTTTCGTCATATTATGTCCCACTTTTATCTCTATTATGTGTTAAAATGTATTTCGTCTGATATTAGTATAGCCTCTCCAGTCTTATTGATGCTATATACTTGATAGATATGTCTCTGCTTTTAAAATTTTCTACTTATTTGTGCCTTTGAATTTAGCATGTCTTTTGTAGACAGCAGGTGTTTGGATTTACATATTTTCTACAACCTGACAATTAATGCTTTTTGATTGGATTTCTAAATCTATTCCCAGTTCTCTGTTATTAATAGGGCTGGATTTACTCTTGCCATTTTATGTTGTAACCTTTATCTGCCTTCTGCCTTTTTGAACCTATAGTTCTTTTCTATTACTGACTTCTTTTTGATTAGGTGAATATGTTTTAGCATAATATTTTGATTTCTACAGTGACCTTTTCACTTAATCATTTTCCTGATGGTTGTCATAAAATGTATCTACTAAATTCACCCTATCAGACTCTACTTCAGATTTATACTCCATTACCTACAGTGAAAAATAGAAAGGTTCCTCATATATAATTCTATTTCACTACTCTAATTTTGTGATATTACATTTGTACATAGAAGATCTGTATATGTTTAAATTCCAACAGTACATTGTTGAATTACTAATTTATATAATATGATGTCTTAGAAATTTTTTTTAATGCTTATATACTTTTGAGACAGAGCATGAGCAGTGGATGAGCAGAGAGAAACGGAGACACAGAATGTGAAGCAGACTTGAGTGTGCAAGCTGTTAGCAAAGAGCCGAAGTCAGACACTCAACCAACTGAGCCACCCAGGCGCTGATGATTTAATGTTTGTTAAAGAAAGTGAGAGGAGAAAGAATAGCAAGTGTCTCTTTGTGGAGTTTGTTATATGAACTTTCTTATTCACCATTTCTGCTTCATTTCATTTGCTACTTCATTTCATTTCCTTATTTAACCATCCAATTAATGTTTTTTTCCTTTTAGTGACCTTTAGATTATTCGATGCCTCTCTATGAACTTATTCTTATTTCTTCCCTTTTTAGTAGCATTATTTCTGTTTCACCGGAATATATAACATTTATATATTACTCTTGTATTCTTGTTCTTAACTTTCTTTTGGTCTTAGACCTACACTGCTCAGCTTTTCTGCCAGTGTTTCTTATCAAATCTTGGTTGCTTGAAGTTTGTCCTCTTCCTAGGGATTCCATCATTACATTATTACCTGATTTCTTGCATATCTAATATGATTGGCCTATTCCAGTAGCCTGGATACTTTTAAAGGATCATGCAGCTGGATATGAAACACTTAATTCTTTGTTTTTTCTTGAAAATGTTGCTCCACCGAGCCTCACTTTGTTTATTGGTGGCAGAGTCTCTTGCCATATCTGCATTTTTGTCTGCTTATTGAGACTTAATCTTTTTGCCCTGAGGAGATTTCTTCATTTTTAAGGTTTAGTAGTTTTATTACAGCACATCTTAAGAGAGGACTATTCCAGGAAGCTTTCCTGGGGTCATGCTGGTCCTTAAACATGTGGGTCAGGTCTTCTTTTACTTCTGGGCAATTTTCTGAGATTACAGTTTTTAATAGTGTATTCAGTTGCTTTCATTTTTCTCTTTCTTTTCTGCTATGTTGTCATGCTTTTTTCCCATGCTGTTTATTAAAATTTCATTCAGGTGTCTTTTCTCTTTGTGTGCTCTTTTAGCCTGCCTGGACTGCTCTAACAAACACCGCAGAAACTAACTTTCTCACAGGTCTGGAGGCTATAAGGCCAAGATGAAGGTGCCTGCAGGGTGCTTCTGGTGAACCCTCTCTCTTCAGCTTGCAGACAGCACCTTCTGGCTGTTTCCTCACATGGTTTTTTTCTGCACGCAGGGAGAGCCGGCAGGTGCTGGTGTCTCTTCTGCTTCTGATATGGGTGTGTTTCCTATCCGATTAGTGCTACACCCTGATGATGTGATTTAACCTTAATTAACCTCCTTAAAAGCTCTGTCTCCAGATGCAGCAACATTGGTGATTAGGGCTTCAACATATGAATTTGGGAGGGGGACAGTCCAGCTCATGAGAAAGTTCTTATAATTTGAGTTGTGTTCTAAGATCACTCTGGCCTTTTTACAGTTGTATTCCTCACCCTGATCAGCCTTCGCCTCTGGAGGTCTCGTATCCTATAAACCCTGTCTGTTGGAGTCCTCGGGGGTCTGAGCTGTCATCTGTCAGAACTAAGGTGTCAGCTCTGTATTTTCCCTCTCATGGTGGGACTTCCCCTTTCTGGGAGTGATTCTATTTGCATTAAATTATCTCTAAGCTCTCTGTCTCTTCCTCTACCTGTGGTTGCCACGGGCTCAAACTAACTCTTTCCACGGGTGTGGGCTCTAGATCCCATTTTTTTTCCCTATATTTAAGTGTTTATTTCCTCAGTGGTGATTTGAAGTTAGTAGTGTTTTGTATTCCCTAGTTATGCTGAAGTCATGGGTTCTTGATTGGCAATTTTATTTGCTCTCCTTATATTTATGATTAGAGGTATTAGGAGGATAGATGGAGACGCTCAGAATTTAGTAGCTGCCTTGATTCCTCAGATATCTGAATGCAGGTGTATGCTTGTAATTGTTTCCTTTCTTTTTTCTCCCTGCCAGGCTTTTTGTTTCTTGTTTTCATTTTTGTGTTTTTTATGTCAAACTGACGAAACAGAAAAAATAAGTACTTACAGTTATCTTCTTCCCGGGAGACTAGACAAGAAATCAAAATCTGCTGAAACATAAGGCATTTATATAGATGTTGCATTCCAGAAGAAATGTGTCAGTATTTATGTGTATGGTTCATTTTTCTTATCTTTAGAAGTCTGGGAAACCGATCACCAGAAAGAAAGGAGCCAAGAAAACCAGCGTAAGCCTGTGTGGGAAGTTGCACACATCAGTAACAAAACACTGACCAAGGAGCAAGGTATTCTAATAGGAAAACCATTTAACCTGGACACAAATTCATTTTCTTGCCGAGAAACCCTCTGTCAGTGTGACTCCTGTGGAATGAGTTTCAGCTGTATTTCAGAATTGTGTATCAATAAGAAAAGACATTTAGGAAAACAGAATGATGCCTTTAATGCCTGTGGAAAATTGCTACTCAGTATTAAACATGAGAAAACTCCTACTAGAGAGCAAAGTGAATTTTATAAAAATGGGAAGACTTTCAGTCATGATGAGAGCCCTGTTGGTCATGAGAAGATTCAAAGTACAGAACAAAATTTGGAATATAACATGTATCAAGAAACCTTCTCTAAAAAGGCAGTATTGAGTACATACAAGAGAGAGATGACTGAAGAGGGTGACTCTGAATGTATTGAATATGGGAGAAGTTTTTTTCATAACTCCTCCTTCCAGTTACCTCACATGGATGCTTCCAAGGAAAATCACTGTGGATTTGGTGGTTGTGGGAAGTCTTTATGTGTGAAGTCAGGCCTTTTGAAACCCGATGGAGCACCTACGAAACACTCTGAGTGTCATGAGAGTGGGGATCATTTCAGTGGGGATTCATGTTTTTTACAACTTCAGAAAACTCATAAAGGAGAGAAGCACTTTGAATGTAATGAATGTGGAAAAGCATTTTGGGAGAAGTCCCACCTCACTCGACATCAGCGGATACACACGGGAGAGAAACGCTTTCAGTGTAATGAATGTGGAAAAACTTTCTGGGAGAAATCAAATCTGACGAAACATCAGAGATTACACACAGGGGAGAAGCCTTATGTGTGCAACGAATGTGGGAAAGCCTTCAGCCACAAGTCAGCCCTCACATTACACCAGAGAATTCACACAGGGGAGAAACCCTATCAATGCAATGCATGTGGGAAAACTTTTTACCAGAAGTCAGACCTCACCAAACACCAGAGAACACACACAGGGCTGAAACCCTATGAATGCTATGAATGTGGGAAAACTTTCTGTATGAATTCACACCTTACAGTGCATCAGAGAACTCATACAGGGGAGAAACCATTTGAATGTCCTGACTGTGGGAAGTCTTTCTGTCAGAAGTCACATCTTACACAACATCAGAGAACCCATGTAGGGGATAAGCCCTACAAATGTAATGCATGTGGGAAAACTTTCTACCACAAGTCAGTACTCACCAGGCATCAGATAATTCATACAGGATTGAAACCTTATGAATGTTACGAATGTGGAAAAACCTTCTGCTTGAAGTCTGACCTCACAGTGCATCAGAGAACTCACACAGGGGAGAAACCCTTTGCGTGTCCTGAATGCGGGAAATTCTTTAGCCATAAGTCTACCCTCTCTCAACATTACAGGACACATACAGGGGAGAAACCCTTCGAATGTCATGAATGTGGAAAAATATTCTATAATAAATCGTACCTAACTAAACATAATAGGACACATACAGGGGAGAAACCCTATGAATGTAATGAATGTGGGAAAACTTTCTGCCAGAAGTCTCAGCTCACTCAACACCAGAGAATCCACATAGGAGAGAAACCCTATGAGTGTAATGAATGTGGAAAGGCTTTCTGTCATAAGTCAGCTCTAATTGTGCACCAGAGAACTCATACAAAAGAAAAGCCCTATAAATGTAATGAATGTGGGAAATCTTTCTGTGTGAAGTCAGGACTAACTTTACACCAGAGAAAACACACAGGGGAGAAACCCTATGAATGTAACGAATGTGGAAGGGCTTTCTGTGATAAGTCAGCTCTAATTGTGCACCAGAGAACTCACACAGGGGAAAAGCCCTATAAATGTAATGAGTGTGGGAAATCTTTCTGTGTCAGATCAGGACTTATTGTACATCTGAGAAAACACACAGGGGAGAAACCTTATGAGTGTAACGAATGTGGGAAATCCTTCAGTCACAAATCTTCCCTCACAGTGCATTATAGAGCTCACACAGGGGAGAAATCTTGTCAGTGTAATGAATGTGGGAAAATATTTTACCGTAAATCAGACCTTGCTAAACATCAGAGGTCACACACAGGCGAGAAGCCCTATGAATGTAACACATGTGGAAAAACTTTCTCTCAAAAGTCAAACCTCATTGTACATCAGAGAACCCACACAGGAGAAAAACCTGATAATTGCAGTGGGTGTTAGGAATGTTGTGGCTGAACAGCCGCTTCGCTTCTGAGCACTCACTCTGTGGGGGAACCAGTGGTGACATCCTGAATGTTGAGTAACCTTTGTCCACAAACTGGCCTTATTTTACCCAAAGTAGACTGCAACACACACAGGACAGTCTTGTTAGGTAATATTCCGTTCAATGTTCTCTAGTAAATGTGGGCATAAATCCTTGCAGATTTCTTGATTCTTTGTAAGGGTTTTTTTTTTTTTTTAAGCAAAAATACAAACTAGGTTATTTCAGAATTTCTATTGAGAAATCTTTCAATTGAGACCTACAGCTTGAGTATTGTCTTTAGAAGTAATATTACATTGGAAATTGTCTTGTGGCTTTGATGCCATATTTGTCTTCAGGAAATGAGAAGTTGTATTTCAGGTGAGTATTGCGCAGTGTACAAACAAACAATAATAGTAAACTGAGAGAATAAGCTTAAAAGAAGTTCCAGTAATACATAGAATTCTCATGTGCCCTTCTCCGAGCTTCCTGTAAAGATATCTTACATAACCAATGTATATTCTCAAGCAAAAATGTGGACCGTACCATACTGCTGAGTCACATACAGTCATTCACAGTTCAGCAGTTTTTACATGTGAAGTTTACAAAATGTTGTCACTTATAGTGTGAGTACCCATCAACACAGGCTACAAAATCAAAAAGGAATCTCTGATCTGTATTGCATTAGGATTACAAAGGAATCAGGATTTCACACAGGAGGTTTCCTTGTGTTAATAACCATACCCTTTCTGCAACCCTAATCCTGGCAACTCATGTGAATATGAAGCTTTTAAAAAGCAGAGATAAATGAGTAATTAGGGCAACACCGTTAAATGCTTATGTGACATATCCCTTAAGTTTACAGGACCCTGTATCTACAAATGGTGCCTTCTGTAAACTATGTCTGTTCCATATGCATAGTGGAAGTTAAAGAATTGTGAATCGAATGGAGACAGTTCTAGTTCAGTGGTTGTTACAGTATCAGGCACATCTTCCATGTATGTAGGGGCCTGGAGGAACCTCTGGAAGTAGGCCCACAAAGCTAATATGTAACCATTTAAAATACATAAAATAACAAAATGGAAAATAAAATGTGTTCTGTGCAGAGGGTTATCTAGTCCATACTCTCATTTTCCCTTTTCAAGCCATGGCGTGCCTTGAGTGTACATGTGAATCCTCCATCCCTCATCCTCAGTTTTGTACCAACCACTGTAAGTAACTGCCTCTAAGGGAGAATTCAGAATAGAAGCCACAGATAGAATATATGACAGTCAGGGATGTAAACTTGGCTGTAAATTCAGGGGTCCAGTGTACCTAGAGACAGTTCTGGGCCCTTGCAGATACTTGACTTCATGAGGAGGTTTGAGACTAGAGCAGAGCCAGAGTGAAGCTTTTCTGGACCAACAGGGTGGAAAGGTGATACACTACATTTCATGGTCAGATTTCATAAATAGGTTACACAACTAACGATCTGAAATTTAAATTGCACAGGTATTCTAAGCTTTCATCTTAGGAAACTAGGATAAGAGGAGATTATTAAATCCAAAGTAAGCAAAACAAAAATAATAATTGGAGCAGAAATCAGTGAGATCTTTGAAAAGACAAAACCAATCAACCAAAAGTTAGTCATTTGAAAAAGTCAATAAAATTGAGAAACCTTCAGTTAAGTTAACTAAGAAAAAGAGAAGATTCAGTTTGCCAAATTCAGAAGTGAAAGAGACGTTGACAACTGATTATGTGGACATTAAAAGGATAGGAATGTTATGGACAACTCTGCCCACAAATTTCATAAACTGGACCAATTCCTTGAAAGACACAAGGCATCTGACAAAACTCATGGAAGTATAAATCTGTATAGGCATCTATCTCTTAAAAGAAATTGAGGTCATTTTTAATCTTCCAAATCAGAAAGTGTCAGGCCCTGATGTGTTCACTGGTGAATTCTTACAAACACTTAAGGAAGAAATGAAAACCAGTTCTTTACAGTAGCCTCTTCCAAAAAGTAAGAGTAGAAGAAATCCTTCCTGATTCATTCTATGATGCTTATTATAGTATCAAAACCAGGCAGAGGCATTACAGGAAAGGAAAGCAACAGGGCTGCCTGGCTGGTGCATACAGTAGAACATGCGACTATTAATCTCAGGGTCCTGAGATCGAGCCCATGTTGGGTGTGATTGCTATAAAAATTTTTTTTTAAAGGAAAGCTACAGGCCTGTCTGTTGGCTAAACATAGATGCTGAGATCCTCAATAAATCATTAGCAAGTTGAATCCAGCAATACACAGTTACATGCCATGACCAAGTGGGATTTTTTCCAGGTGTGCTGTGCTGGTTCTACATTTGATAATCAGTCACCTGTCACATCAATAGGGGGAAAGAAGAAATACTCCCACAATCATCGCAGTAGGTGCAGAAGAGCATTTCACAAAATATTAACCTGCATCCACAATAACAAATCTCAGCAGACTAGGAGTATGGGGAACTTTAACTTGGTAAAGAACATCTACAGCAGCCCTATAGCTAATACTGTACTTAATGGTGAGAAACTAGATGCTTTCCCAGTAAGATGAGGAAAATGGCAAGGAGGTCTCTGTGCCTGCTCTTTCATCCTTCTGGAAGTCCTTGCTGATACAGTATGACCAGTGAGGGAGAGAAACTTGGATTGGGAAGGAAAGAAAACTGTCTACAATCACACATAATGTGATTGTCCATGTAGAAAATTTCCAGGAGTCCACAATAAAACACCCTGACAAGGGTAAGCAAAGTTTCAGGATGCAGTGATTGGGTGGGTGGTAAAAAGAAAAATAGCTATTACGTAACAGAAGACATGCAGGAGCCTTCTCAGGCATATTGTCAAATGAGAGAAGCGAATCTGAAATGGCTTTCCATCTATGTTTCCAGTTATAGTGCATTCTGTAAAGGCACTTGTGAAGACACTGAAAAGATCATTGGTGCCAGGGATTTGGTCAAGGGAAGGAAAGATGAATAGGTGGATGATAGAGGACTTTGAGAGGACAGTGAGAGTATGCTGTAGGATATTATAACCGTAGATACGTGTCCTTCCTTTGCCAGTGCCCATAAAATGTAACACAAAGGGTAATCCCTAATGTGAACTGTGGACTTCAGTTAGTACTCCTGTATCAGTATTGGGTCATCAGTTGTACAAACGTACCACATGACTGCAAGATATGAATAATAGGGGGCTGTAGAGGGTAGGAGTGAAGGAATGTATAGGAATTCTTGCTCTATTTTTCTGAAACTCTAAAATTACACTAAAATATAAAGTGGAGGAAATAAATGAACAATCTTCTCTGCATATTGTAATATAGAGGAATCTCTGAAGGCGTTTCTTCTGTATTTACAAAATTAGAAACATGTTATTCGGTACCGCCTATCCCATGGTGACAGGCAAAATGCATTCTCAGAAATCATATGCCGACAATCACTAAAGCCTATTTTCATTTGCAGCTTTCTGTTCTTGTAAGCCTTATTGTCTTTTCTGGAAGTAACATAAATTAGTTACCTCTCCTCATAGCATCTTGTATCTATAGAAAGGTTTTTGTTTGTCCTATGTTCCTGCACTACAAATATAATCGCCACTAGTGAACATTTGAGCTGTTTTTATAGTCTTCAGATTATTTTTAATTACAGTAACTGTGGTCTGAAATTAAGGCCTAGTATAATAGACTCTTTTGACATCTGAAACATGGAGTGAACCATCTGAGTAGGAGGCAGTTAGTACAGTGGGCATCACAAACATCATGGTCCCTCCAAGACCCAGGTCACCAGGTAAGATCGAGTTCATCTAGTTATCAACTGATTGTTCTTGACTACCGAGTTCTGAGATAGACAAAGGCCACCTGGGACCGAGCTACCAGTTGCTGGCAGACCTGCCTCTTGATGTGCATTGTACTGCCTTTTCTGGCTGTCACTGTTTCTTCCCGCCCTATAAAGCTCTTGTCCCTAAGAATTGTTAATCAGCTGTACCCCGGGTGCCTGGCCTCCGAGTTCAGTCAGTTTGGCTGGTGTTCTGTGATGGTCTAGCCTGTCAGGGCAGTGACAACTCAGCACCCCAGCTGGTCAGCATCTGAACCCCACCTAGCGAGGGCCTGGCTAGAACTGTCTGGCTATGGCGTACAGTCTGATGGCCGTCCCTGGCTGCTCAGGGTACCCGTGCACACCATTGTTTGTCCTTGTGCATCGCTGGGGTGGGAGTCTGATGAGCGGTGGTTCAGGTGAGGGCAGCAGCCTTCTCCATCTCTTTCGCTACTCCTTCCCCTGCTGCCTGATGCCCAGAGGTGTTGAGGTGCACGTATGTGGTGTCCTGTGGCCCAGAAGCCAATGAGAAAGAACAGGGACCTCTTCCAAATTACCAGAGGAATGGCCTCAACTGCCCTAATACAGAATCCTCAGCCAGTGAACTTTGGTTTACGAAGCACTGCTGTCTTCTCTACACCACAGGCCTAACCTCGGAGTCCTGGGGCTTGATGGCCTTGACCCGTGCCTTGACAGAATGACCTTCTTTGTGAACCTTGACCCCAGGGAGATAGACTGGCATTCCCTGGAGGAAGCAGCAGCTGCCCATGAGGCTGACAGCTGGGCTCTGGTACTTTCCCTTGTAACTACTCAGGTTCGTGCCTCTTAGGTGCCTGGCTAGAAACAAAAACTGAAAGCTGCTACTTTCCATGGATCGAAGTCCAAAATATTGTGAAGGGATTTGTGCAGAGAGAAATGAGAGAGAAGAAAATGCGTATTGTTGATAAAAAGGCAGTCCTACAGAAGATACTCAGTCAACTCTTGGGTTATGGGCAAAGGAAGCTCTTTGCTGCTCCCCTCTGTTGCCTGTGTCTCTGTTGAGAAAAATTCTCATCCTCCTGCTAAGAGGGGAAACACTCACCCTGTGGCACAGCAAAGGGGCTAATTAAAATGCAGCGTAAGCCCAGGATCCTTAATCCACATGAAGCAATGTAACCACTGCCATTGAGTCGGCTCATGAGCCTGGAGATTCTGTCTGGAGACTCTAGGGAAGGGAACTTGTAAAGTTGATCAGAGTAAATAGAAAACCACTGAGGTATATTGAGTAATAACAAAACGGAAAGAATTGGCAAGAACGAGGGGTGGGAGGGACTTAGATACAAGAAAAGGAAACAACGAAATGATTTCAAAGAAGCACACAGATTGTCCCAATTGGGAGTCCAAACTGTACTAAAATAATTTATACAACAAACTATAAGAGGGCACTTACTGATTTTTTATCTTCACTGGATGGTTTCTGAATTGACTTAAATATCTGCTGAAATGCACCAACGACAAATTGTCGTGGCGTTAGCTCAGGCTTGAATTACAGCTATATCTGGGAATTACAGCTATATCTGGGCATTCCAGTAATTTGATCATGTCATTCCCTAAAGTCTTAGAGGAGTTACTGACTATAAAATGGAGTGCGGTAGATTGT